TTATTAAATTACTACTTAATTACTACTAGTTACCTATAGCTTTAAAAAGGGGTATAAGATTTTTTATTTTATAAGATTTTAAAATTATACCTAAGGTTATAAGTAAAGTAGTTACCTTTTTTATTTTTTTATAAAATTTTAAGGTTTAATAAATTATAGCCGGAACACTACCGGCTTGGTATTAAAACTTATTTTAAGTTATAATTTAAAATAAAAAACTATATTTATATTAAAGTTAAAGTATTAAAAAAAAAAAAATTTTTATTTTTTTTTTAAAAAAAAAAAATAATAATTAATTACGCGGTAAGGCTATAATAAAAAATTATTATTTAATATTAAAAGCAGGAGTAGGGGCCTTTTTAAATATTTTTTTTTTATACCTAGTATTTTTTTAAAAAAAAGGCGTGACGGGCTTATTTTTTAAAAAAAAAATATTAATAAATTAGTAACTATTTTAGCTATTATTAAAATAAGCTAAGGGCTATTTAATAATAAGCTAAAAAAATTAAATAAGCTTTTAAATAATTAAAGCTAATACCTTTATTATATAAATTTTAGGGCTTATTTTTTTATTATAAGCCTTTATTATTAATTTAACTTAATAACTAAATATATTTTAGTAATAAATACATTTATTATAGTTACTAGGGTTTATTTATTATAAAAAGGTAATATTTTTTTTATATAAAATAATAGGGGGAGGCAAGTACCCTTATTATAAATATAATAAAAGTAATTACACCCGGGGGTTAAATAAATATAGTTATTAAGGTTATTAATTAACCTATTATTTTTATATACCTAAATATACTTTACACACTGTAAGTAAACCTATTTTTTATTAATTAATATTTATACTAAAGCTATTTTACTAGCAGACTAGTTAAAAATAAGGTATACTTATAAAAAAAAAGGTTAAAGGCTAAAAAAAAAGCCTAAGGGGGTAGTAGTGTAAAACCTATAATAAGAATATTAATAAAAGTAAAGGCTAGTATAACACTAGGTAAAGCAAGAAAAGGTAAGCTAGGAAACACGGGAGTTATAGTTAAATAATAAAATAGTTACTATAAATTAAAAGTTAGTATAATTAGTAAAGCATTAATAAAGTATTACTAGTTAATAATTATTAAAGTAAGAAAAACTTATTAAATTATTATTTTTAACCTTATTATATATTTTAAAGGCGTTTATTAAATATAAGTTATATTAATTATTACTATTATTATTACTACCTAAGAACTAATTAAAATTAAAGTTTTTAAACTTAAAGAAAAATAGGTGTAAAAAAAAATTAAAAATATTAAGGGCTTTTAAAGTTAGTAAAAATATTATACTAAAGGGGTTTTATAATTATATTATAATAAAAGTTTAAGGGGTAAAGGCAAGAATATTTTAAATTATTATAATTATAATAAGGCGCTTTTTTTTACTTATTAAAAAGCTAGGGCAGCGCCTAAAAGGGCTTTTTTTTAGCTATAATAAAAAAAAAGTAATTTTTTATTTAGTAAAAAGTTTAATAAGTTTAAAAGTTTATAAAATTATAAATTATATTATAATTTATACTTTTATACTAGGTATTATTAAAGCGCCGCCTTTCCCCTTTTAATTATAAATAAATATTATATTTTATTTAAAGCGCTATAAATAATAAAAATAAAATATTAAATTTAATATATTAAATAATACTTTAATAAAGTTAAAAATAATAATAATAAAGCTATGTTTAGTATTAATATTAATAATAATAATAATATTTTATTATTATTTTTTTTTAATTTAGTAGCGGGTCGCGGACAACCCTTTAATTAAAAAAAAAATTATTAGGGTTAATATTTTTTTATTTAATATTATTAAAGCTAATTTATTATTAATTTAAAATTAGTACCTTAAGTAACCTAAGCTTTAGCCTTAGGCTGCCAAGGCTTAATATATTTTATTATTATATTAGGCTATATAACTTAACTAAGTTATTAATATTTAAGGTTTTAGTTATTAATTAGGTAAGGCTAGGGTAGGCCCTAAGTATAAGCTAAAGTAAAAACCTATATATAAAGTATTTAAACTTATATTTACTTTTTAGTTAGGAATAGCTTAAAAATATCTTAAAAATTTATAAAGGTGGCCTTGAGGCCAGCCTTTTTCCTAAATTTTTAAGTAACTTTTTTAGTATTATTTAACGGGATTTAAAATACTCTATTCTTATTAGTTAAATTCCTTTGTTAATATCTTTATCATTAGTAAAGATCTTTGAGACTTGTCAGTCTTACAATCAAATACCTGGCTTCTGTTACTAGAATAGAAATAGAGTGTGTATAGTATGAATAAAAAAATAAAGTTTATTATACTTTGCTTTCCAGAGGTTGTCTGACTCTGGCAAGTGTGAGATTTATAAAGCCTTCCCATACTCTAGACCAAGGTATAACTAAACAGATCTAGTACTATCCTTGCATGCCTTAATAAATAGCTATATAGTTAAAAAGTGGCAAAGGTCCTCTTGGTTATTTGTTAGAGGCCACTTTAAAAATATAGTTTAGAGATATTAATTTTAAGATCCAAGATATTAGACCCCGCAACAAGAGCACATTTAGTATAGCCTTAGTTGTAGATAACTTCCTTACATGTTATATTCTTGATAATATGATGCTACTCTCGGGAACAAAGACATTCAAATGGGGATTTCATATCAAGCAAAGAGACTACATACACCAGGATTATTATCCTGCCAGTTAAATGAGATAAGGAGTACTGCCCCGGCCTGAAGTTGCATGGCCTTGGTAAGAAGGTTAAGTATGATTGGGTGAGCAGCGGAGTGAGGGTCGTGCATAACTGAACCCTACCAAGCAAAAAACCACCAGCCTGCCTTTAAAAACCCTGGTTAGTAACAGGCACAATGGCAGTACTTTAGACCCGGAATTTGGGATGAATGACACCGAAACAACCAGCGCCACGAGCCATGGCCTAGAAGCCCTCTATTCCAGGAAGCAAGGGAGAATCTTGTTGCGACTACGTCCGAAAACCCTTGCGATGCCTCCAAGCATTGACAACTTGCCTGAGGTTAGGGATGCCCTGCAATACCATGAAGGACGAGTAATCTTGTTGATGAACATGTTGGACAAGACTTGTATTGATATATAGCCGATATACAAATGCCAAAGCAGGTTACGCATTCAGCATTATCAGTATCTAACCTAACCCTACCTAAATCTTCCTGGAGACGCAAGACCCGCGGCAGCGATGTTGTTGCGATCGAGGTATTCACGATACAGATCAAGACGAAAGGGAACACTCCGTAACATCTGAGGATCAAGCAAGGAATAAAGACTGTAGGGTTGAGACTTCCTCTGCGGGCTTTGATCCAGGTTAGTAACAGGCACAAGACAGCAAACCCTAACTCCATTTCTTAGTCATGAGCTTAAGGGCCAAGGGGTCCCCCGCTGCCTTTGACCTGGTCGTGCTATATTCTATGATTAGCTCTGCTTCCTCCCTGAACAGACGACTTCTACCGAATAGCGATATCTCCACTAACTCAGCATTGTCTCTGATGGTGTATGCTGGTGGCGGGGCGTTGGTAGTGCCCACTATGTTTTTTGTCTCAGCCATAGTTTACCTAGTTAATATCAAATAGACCGATCCTAGTCTTCGTATGTTGATTTTCGCCAGAGAAAAACAAAGACCTAGCTTTGCTTGCATGAAACTCTGATTAGAAATATCCTTCAGGACAACAGCAATGTAAGCTATCCCCAACCCCAAGATCCTCCCACACCACTAACGCGATAGTTAAACAGGTTGGATTATAGAAAAAAAGCTGCAGCTGTCGCATTCTGCTTGGTAGGTTTCCCATCAAACTACACCAAGCGTGGGAGGGAAAGAAACCAAACTCATATATAGCTGTTAGTTGGTCCTCCACAACTCCTCGTCAATCCTGGTCTGTTCAATCCCCTATCATTTATTTGTCTTTCAATCTGATTGGGAAAAGCTACAACACCGAGTTCAATCCTTGTCCGAACAAGGCCACGACAGACACGATCCAGTGACAGTTATTATTCTAGCAGAGGCCATGAAGCTCTGTGTCTCTGCCCTTTCAATCGCAAAAGAAGGCATGTCCTCGCAGGATTTCTCCTGGAGCTGGGATATGCTTACAACTGGCCATAAGGAAGCCGCTATACCAGCGGCTCTGTACACACTTGCGACGTTTCTGCAAAGTGTGGGGGCACGCAACCTCCCCCTACTCCCATACCTCATGTTGTCGCAAGCAAAAGCCATCATCACGCCCGTGCTTGGGATGTTTTTCCTCAATCAGAAGTTTACCCGGATCCATTGGGTCTGCTTTGCCACAATCACAGCGGGCGTCATCCTGGTTCAGACATCGCCAGCAAATTCAGCATCTACAGCATCCACATCCAAACAGCCACAATCCCAATCCCCAATCCTCGGTATAACCGCCATGCTGCTGTCGGGCTTCTGCGTTGCACTAGCCGGCATCCGAATGGAGAAGATGCTACGGAGCAAGGCCGCGTTCATGTCTCGGAACGCCCAGCTTGCGTGGTACGGCTGGTTGTCTGCAAGCTTGGTCTATTTTTGTCGGTCGCAGCGCGGACCCCCCGGCTTCTTCCACGGGTATGATCCCTTGGTGTGGGGGTTTGCTCTCCTCCAGGCGACTGGGGGTTTCATCGTTGCTTGGTGTGTGGCGCTCACCGGAACCGTGACGAAGAACCACGCCCAGGTCGTTGGGTTTTTACTGGTGTCGACTGTACCGCTTGTGCTGCAGCATGATCTCAGAATTCAGGTAAGTTGCTTCCTAACTGTGGCGGTGTGGTGTTAAAGTGCTGACGCGTTCTTCTTAGCATGTCTGTGGCTGTATGCTTGCAGTGGGCGCTCTATTCGGATATGCCCGCCAAACGCCTACACCCAAAGGGAAAGGGAAACAAAGCGTCCAGGGTTCGGCGGAGAAAGCCGACACAATGGTATAAGAATAACAATGGGGGTCCAGTTTTTCAGAGAATCGGCTCCCAGACCCACATGGACTGGCAAAGTGTATACGTAAACCCTACTTGGCAGGTGGCTTAGCCTCATCGATGTAAGACATTTGGTCTGAACCGAGGCCCTTCTTCCCTTCATCGAGCAATGTCTTCTTCGTTCTTCACCCCTGAGTTCCCGTGGGTTCTGCAACGCCTGCACCTGCAATGCTGCTCTCCGCGAGACGCGCGGTGATCGCGACATGCACGGTCGCGACATTCGTGCTTCTCTTCGCATTTAACAGACTTCGTTTGGCCAATCCAACGGTAACAAGCGTGTCCCCATCTGCAGAAGCATTTGGTGGCCTGGTGCCTCATTGGACAACGGAGCAAGAGAACCCTCGGTTCGCCTATGTCCAATATGCGACGGACTTGGACTACCTGTGCAACGCGGTAGGACCCTAATAAACAGACACAATATCTCAATGCTGCACCGCTAATAACTCAGATGATAAACTTCGCCCGCCTCGACCGTTTCGCAACTCACTTCAACCAGGTGTTGATCCACCCAGAGGCCTGGAACGAGGTTCGCCGCCATCCCCTACCTACCTACCCAACACCTCACCACAACCACAAGAGCAAAGGCAAAGAAAAGAAGCAATCCCTCCAGCTAACATAGACAACCAGCCCGGCTCAAGCCCTGAACAGACCTTCCTCCGCAACATCCAGAAACACCACCCCCGCGTGCACCTGCACCCCGTCCCCACCCTCTCAACCTCCACCGGCGACCCAACCTGGTCCAAAAGCCTCACCAAGTTCCACGCCTTCGCCCTAACAGCCTACACCCGGGTACTCGTCTTCGACTCGGACGCCCTGGTCCTCAACAACATGGACCACACCTTCCTCTCGCCGCTCGCCCCCGTCGCCGTCCCACGCGCCTACTGGCTGACCGATCCCAAAAGCAGCATCAAAGACCAAATGCTGGCGTCGCACGTCATGCTCATCGAGCCCAACACCGGCACCTTCAACCGCATCATGGTCCAGGCGAAAGAGTCCGGCGCATTCGACATGGAGGTCCTGAACGCGCTCTTCGCCGACAGCGCGATGGTCCTCCCGCACCGGCGGTACGCGCTGCTGACCGGTGAGTTCCGGAAGAAGGACCACGGGCTCTATCTGGCCGAGGATCCGGATGTGGAGTGGAATGCCATGGCTGAGGTGTCGCGGGCGTATCTGGTGCATTTTAGTGATTGGCCGTTGCCGAAGCCGTGGGTGGCGCATTCGGAGGAGCAGTGGGAACAGGCGCTGCCGGGGTGTGCCGACGATGATGTTTCGACGGCGGATCGGCCGCGGTGTGCGGATCGGTTTATGTGGACGGGGTTTTATGAGGATTATGATAGGGATCGGGAGGCGGTTTGTGGGCCGTTGATGGGGTAGGAATTGCCGTTTCTTGTGGTAAAAGCACATCTATCTATACATCCATGGATATGTCTGGTGTTTGCTGTAGAGCCAGCCTAGTTAGGGTTGGGTTGTTATTTCTGGTGGTACTGTACTTTACCCTAATGCTTGAGGGGCGCGTTAGGCTGTAGGGATGTAGGGTAAACACCTACTTGAGTGCGTGCAACCATTGAATTCCCCTAAACATAGGTATACTTGTACAAAGCTCAGGGCGAATAAAGAGACAGCATGCATGCATTGTCTGAGGCGATCGCTCTACATACATGAATATCAACATGCAACTTCAACCCACTCTGGTCCGTATGGGTGAAGAGGACTGATAGCATTGACAGTGCTGTTCAGTCTGAGGTAGCATTAACACTTCATCTACACATTGAGGTCCTTTCATATTCATCTGAATCAGATTTCATGCGTTGTTGGTCCTGACATGTTACACGAAGCGCAAAGGGCTTTTCGCGACCTGTTAACAGATCACGCATATATTTTCATATGGAACCGACCTCGGGAACTGATTTGCCGCCCTAGAGCTTCTTCTTGGCCTGGTCGAGCTCGCGTACATAAGCATCAAGCGACATAGGTTCAATAGGGACGACGTTGGCTGTCTGGATATAGCTGGCAACTGATGGGAATGGGTCAGATAACGTGCAGACCATAGGGAAGGGATGGTACCGTATGTCTCGAGGCCGTTCCACGCGTTGCAGATGGAGTTGAGCTGGATCTCGGTCATGGTCATGCTGGGGATCTTGTCCTCGAACTTGGCTGCCTTGTCGTGGATGTACTCCAGCTGAACCCTCATGAACTCCCAACCACCCCCCAGCTCCTCGACTGTTGTCCTGGCTGGGCCGATCTGCTTACGGAGGTCTGAAGATTGGTTCTATCATAACCTAGGCATCAGTGATAGTCACTTCATCTTCATCTGGAGCGCACCGTACCTTCATGGAGGTTAGATTGCCCTGCAGGGTCTTGTGGATCTGAATGTCCTCGTTCTCGCTTTTCATGAGTTTCTGGAGTTCCTTGATCTTGCTCTCGTATTCGTCGATCTTTTCCTGGTTCTGCTCGTAGACTGCTATGGCGGCGATGGTGCCAATGAGCGGGCTGTTCCACCGGTTTAGTGGTGAGAGGGTCCCAAAGGAAGACGACTTACATCCACACGTAGGCGGCTGTCATTTCTTGATTGTATCGGCCTGTCGAGATTCAAGTCAGGTCAAAACAGGATATAGGAAACGTGGAGTCTGACAGTTGTCGATGATCTTTTGATCCGCCTCGATCTTCTTGAGCTGGTCATCGATCTCCTTCTGCAGGTCCTCGATACTGCCGAGTTCCTCGTTGAGCAAGTCGGTCATGTTGGTTTCCAAGGACTGGAGGTCGATTTCATTTTTCTCGCAGGCCTTATCGAACTCGTTCAACGCCGTCTTGATCTTTTCGATGTGGGCCTGGATCGGCTCGATTGAGTCGAGAAGAGACTCGGTGAGTTCGACGACCGTTGTGCGGGCTTCCTCTTTCTCGCCTGCAGTCGTGGCTTCGTTGAACTTCCTGCAGTACGTCAACATCAGGACGTAGTACGAATCATCTGCAACTTTGCCGCCTGCGTCCTTGGAATACGACCAGATCTCGCCCGACACTTTGCCCATCTTGTCCCATGTGCACATCTGGTCAAACTCGTCCTCGGTGCCGCCCTTGGCCCACAAGTGGCGTTTGTCCTGCTGGACGTCTCCGAGGAACCCAGCGCAATCGCGGTGGACCTAACGGGTCAGAGAAAGTCAACACGAACGCTGATAGAGACGAACAGCTTTGAAGGTTTCCAGCGTGAGTTGGATCTGCGATTGGATTTTTGCGGTGAGCTTGTCCTGGTTGAGGATCCCAACGGTCTGGTAGTAGGTTTCAGGCGTCAAGGGGAGAACCCTTCCACCGTGAAGAAACCTGTTCAGTGCGCCCATGTCGCCATTGGCGAACTGGAACACGGTATCGTCTTCTTCACTCTCCTTGCTCGCACTCTTGCCATTCTTGCCAAACCTGTCCCGGTTTGTGGTTTGCTGCGTGGGCAGGAAAAAGGTCGGATCGTCAAGAACGTCAGCCATTGCAGGTTAAAATCAATGAATCGGAGATATTGAAATCACGGATGTAAGTCGACAGAAGGAAAGGATATTCTGATGGTAAACAGGCGACCTGGCTATCAATGGATCAATCAAGGCCCGTTCAGCATCACATTGCCGCGGACGAGAGCGACTTCAAGCACGATAACCCTCGAAGTATCCACGCAGTGATGACAGCAAGATCAGGTCACAATCATCTTTCTGGTCACGCTGCTGAAGGTTCCACGGCTTTCGCGACTGCAGAGGGCACGAACTCTAACCTTACCTCCCAACATCGGAATCTTCGCTCCAGACTCCCTGACTGGCCCAGTCCTATCACCAAGGTTTGCATTGGCTTGCAATGAATCATATACCTTGTTCGAGGCCAGGCGACCCTTCCGGGGTGAGCCGGGGCGTCATGGATGTTTGGGAACGAAGACTGAGACAGTGCCGCCTGAGAGCTGGGAAATGCCCGCGCTTCAAGAAAGGAACAGGATCTCGGCAAGCGCGACCACCACTGCGACATATCCTCAAAAAGGCAGGACGCCTCTCGGGCAGCAATGTCGGTCTTCATCGACCAACAACCCAGCACGCCAGGGGAATGGCAGACTGGATACGCCGACTTGACGCAGGTCAAACAGATTCCAGGAACGAGCGCAGAGGATATCAGTGAAGTCGGGGTGAGCCAATTGACACAACCCTTCTTCTTTCACCGGCCACTGATACCAGGGACAGAATGAAGAGACATACCGGGATATCTATCTTGACGGCACCCCGATCCTGCAACACCCCCGGGGCTCCTGTGAGATTTACGCGGACGTGCTGGCATTCACGACGCCTGAAGTAACCGTCGAAGCCAAGGCAGACACCACGATCGAGATCAGGACGCGCGTCATTACCGCCAGCGAACCGTTGCATCTCAACTTCAGCGCCGCCGCGGCCCAAAGCTCCGCCATGGAGATCTACGCCAGCATCCTCGATCAGCCTATCGATGTCTCCGTCGAAGGAGCCCAGCGCACAAGGCTCGACATCGGCGCCGAGTCCAAGAATGTCGGGGCTGTCATCGGCTTCCAAAACAGCAAGTTAACCGTCTCTCCCTTGGAGCAGTACGGCGGCGACCGCAGCGCCGTCTACCAGGCCCATCTCGACACCCAGCTGCGCATCGCGCTCGCCTTGTTCTGGGCACGGCCTGCCATTGCCCTTTCCATCTGCGGCCACGTTGCCCGTTCGACCTCCGGCCTGGACTCCGGCCATGCGCTGTCCAATGCCCAGGCTGTATCGCTGGGACAGCAGCTCGCTGGGCGCCGGCTGGCTGGGAAGAACGCGCATTACGCGCCGACGTTGAACTTCAAGAATTATCGCGACACCATGGAAGAGCAGCTTGATGCCGCGGAGACATTCGAGGCGCAGTATCAGCTGTTTCAAAACGCGGCTAGCGGGGTGGATGATCACAAGAAGGCGTGGGCAACGATGTTGGCCAACGCGAAGGATCAACGGGTGGCACGCGCAAGCGTACAGGCGCAGGCGCTGGACAAGTACCGGGATGCCAGTGCCACCGTTGGCATATGTACAGAGCAGTTGGATGCTGACGAGGACGAGATGGAGGCAGCTCACGAGAGTTTCCGACAGGGGTTGGAGCAATGGAAGAACGCACAGGTCTTCAAAGCGGCGTTGGGCATTTTTGGTGCCATCTTTGGTTCGTTTCTTGTTGAATCTCTTCTCCACCCTTTCTTTTGGCTGATAGTGACTAGGATTCGCCACGGGAATGGCCGACTTCGCCACACTCGGCGACGTTGTCCAGGGCGTACTGGATATCGAAGGGGCAATCCAAGACGTGGCTGATATCGAGGACCCCCAGAACGGAGTGCCAGAAGACGGTCAGATCATCAGCTCGGGTACCATGAGCCCGCTTTGGAAATGCGTCAAAGCCCTCGGCGAGATCTATCCCAATATGGCCGCGTTGGTGGAAGCGGCAGAGCAGATTGTCGAGATTGGCGACGGCGACGACGTCGGTCTCCCTTCGTTCGGCGATGTCACAGGCTCGCAGGGCTCCGACGCGGACGCAAATCTCATTGTCAGCATCGCCGCATGGGACGATTGGGAGCTTCAGGCTGACGAGCAGATGAGATGGGCTGTGGAGGAGGAGGATATCACAGGCGCGGGGGAGTATCGCCTGGCGCTGCGCAAGCATGCAGTCCATGGTCGAGCCCTTTCCCAGGCGCAGGCGGAGGCCATCAAGCAGGGGCAGCAGTATGTCCAGGCGACGCTGGAACTGCACCAGCTGGACAAGGACATCAAGAACCTGCAGGACCTGCTGGACCAGTATGATGGGGAGGAAGCCGAGTACGTCGCAGCACAGGCCAAGTTCTACGACCGCTACCTCCGTCTGCAGACCACGCTCGCTATCCAATTGCAGAACATCGTGGATGCCTACCGGTTCTATACCCTCGAGGAGAGCAAGGTAACGGTGGACTCGCAAAAGTCTGTCGGAGACTTCCAGGAGAATCTGGCCACGTTACAGACAGAGATGGACAACTTGAACGGCCAATTCGGCCAGGATCCCCAACGTGAGTCTTCCACACCCCGGAGAGCTCTTCCGGTCCGCAACCAAGCCTATCGCTAACCGGCTTCCCATGCATGTAGCGTTCAAGAAGACCCAGTACTCTGATGAGGTGAGTGGTAGATGGCCAGGGAATTATCAATGGATACTCCATGTAACTGACCGCTCCAACCCAGCTGGCATCGAACTTCCCCGCCACGGTGATTGCTGGCCTGAGGGACAGCGAGAAGGGCAACACAGCGACCTTCACCCTGAAGCCCGTCCCAAATCCCACGACAACTCCCGGTGCAAGCAACTTCGCCTACCCGTTCGTCCGCGGATCCCACTACCGCCTGGAAGGGATGCAGCTCACGCTGGACACCGTGAAGCCGTATCCCGCCGCCATCACCCACGGACGAGCCTTGGTCAGCCTTCTAATCGAGACATCCGGCTCGTATTCCGATATCTACAAGGATCCAGAGGGCGAGACGGACAAGGCCTTGACATTCGTCACGCAGGCGCAGAGAAAACGGTATTCGTACTACGTGGACGCGGAGGGGAAGTTCTTGGAAGAAGTCGACCAGGCCATCTTTCCCTCGACGGACCATGCTGAGCCTCCGCCCTTCACGGCGTGGAAGATCACCTTCGAGACAGCGGGCGATTTTGACGTCAGTGGTCTCAACCTCGTCGAGATGACCTGGGGCGGCAGGTATAGAGCTTAGGTAGGTAGGTAGGATCAAGGCTGACGACCGTGCATTCTCTCAAGTACTATAGGATAGCTAGCTAGACCATCCAACTCACTCACAACACACTTCAGATTTCTAGCCTACCCAGACGACCGTCCCATGTATTCCTCCTTGAACTGCTTCACTGCGGCTGTAAGACAGAGCAACCAACACGCTAAAGCGCCTACAGAACCGTAGAATCCACTCACCATGCTCTTCCAGATCAGCCCACCTCTCCAGGAGCTTCCTCAGGACCAATCCCCCGAGCGGGTTATCCCCGGGCTCGGTATGCTCGTTGATATACTCCTGCAAGGTCTCGATATCGGTCGCGAGGAACTTCGCGGCGCCTGATCGTGGAAACCAAGAACGTCAGCCAAGGTATGCACGTAGAACGGCCCGGAGTCATCGCAAACAGCCCCGCCGAATATGTATGAGAACGCACCAGCCATCTTCTGGATCTCCTGCATCGACGCGCCAATATCACCCGTCATATTGAATCCAACTAGGAGATCCTACACGAGTTAGATATCCATCACCATCAGCCCAGGCCCCATCAGCCCACCTGCAGGTCTCCCAAGGCATGCTATGGGAAGTAGGTAAGTGCAAGACGAAAACGCACCCTCATCCCCCCCAACGACCCCAAATCACTCTCCAGATCCGGCGAATTGCCCATCTGGTCGTTCAGCAGTTTCTCCAGGGCCCCCCCCTGAAACGGAATCGCGGCACGCGCGATCTCCGCCTGGCATGTCTCTGCGTCTAGCGTATACTGCCGGAAGTCATCGCTCCAGTCGCTGGCGCGATGGTCGAGGATCTCGACGGGGTATTGTCTGTCGCTTATCTCTTGGTCTACGCGGGCGCGGAGGGAGGAGTTGGAGGGGTCCTTGTAGAGGGTTGCGAGGTCGGCGAAGAGGGGTTCTGGTATGGTTAGTTTCTAGACTTTCAATCCAAGGTCGGTCTTGTGGTTGTTTCTGGCAGGGTGGAAGCAGAATAGGTATTATATTTGTAGGGAGGGGGGAATAGGGCCCGGAGCGCTTTTGAGGCGGGCATCGTCCCCGGCCGTCAAACGAGGTACCTAGGTAGGGTACGGTACATACCGTAGACGCTCGGGGCGGAGGCACACAGATCCAATGCGGTGTCGCAGACTGTGTTTGTGTAGTTGTACATTTCCTGTGCGGTTCGTGAGGAGGGGGCTCTTTGAATCATACTCCTCGACTTGGTTGGATGCAAGCTGGAGGGAGGGGAACGCAACGGAGAGTATTAGGTAGGTGTACGTACGTTAAGCCGGGCAGCGACTTCTCTGGTCTGTGTATGCCATCCCAATCCAACCCATGCGCATGAGCCCATTGGACTAAAGCTATTTCTCCGCGTGAGGGGGACGAAAACAGAGCTTCGTAAACGCCTCCATGACAGGCTCCAGATAATCAGACAACTATGTGCACAGTATCAGCATCAGCACCAACAAGTCCCGGCTTGTCAGGGATGAACCGCCTATCAAACCACCTGCGGCAGCGGGAATTGAAGAACACACAATGTAAAACGCGCGGTCCGAGAACCACAGACGCATGCTCTGTTCATCGTAGGGGAGTTTCTCGGTGCCCACGAGCACATCCTTCAGCTTCCGGAAGGAAGGGGCTGTCAGGACGAAGCGATCCTCGTCTTCGATTAGGAGGTCGCGCGGGCCGAGGAAGCCTGCGTCGATTGGCATTTTGGGTGTGGTTGGGATTGCGAGTGGATGATACGAGGTCTAAAGAAGACGAGGTTGGGATTTAGAGACGTGCAATGTCTCAGGCTCCGTCTCTACCGGGCTTTTATAGGTGGGCTTAGGTTACAGGTTGGCACTGTGTCAAGCAATGGTGAACGAACCTTGGAAAGTATAAGCTTATTCCTGTGAGTTAGGGTTAAGGTTGGTGGCTTTACCCTTGGGTTCTGTATTCCCCAGTTGATGCCTTTCTGTATCCACTTAGCACAGCAAATCAGTGCCTGACAATATTTCATGTCCCTCCTGAGCCCTATATTATCATTGAGATGTTCCTCCAGTGTCTCCCGTAACCTCCGATTTTAATTCCGCCCGCCATCTGAGAAAATCTTGGACGTTTGAAGTAGTAGGTCAGTGAGCAGGAAGTTTGAGGCCTAGGACTTTTTTGGGACTACTATTCGCCCGTAGTATGCGACCTTGATAATCAACAACAGATCCCATGCTTATCGTTCCGTCTTGTCACATAGCGTAGGTAGAATACGTGGACTACAGCTAGCCCTAAGTTCCGCCCATCGGAAGTTTGCCGAATCCAGCTTGGCTGCTTGACGATATGCATTCCATCACTTCCACCAATCGCTTTCTATCGATTCATTCATAAAGAGGCATTTCCTTGATATCCCTTTAAAGCCGTTGTTCAGTTTTCTCGGGTCAATAATTTACAAAGACCAGAGGACCTACCGAGAAATAATCGAGCGACATGAACCCCAAACTCTACCAGTTCTTCGTCGCCCTCTTCGCCTCTTTCGGCTCCTTCCTCTACGGCTACGATCTCGGCGTCATCGCCTCAGTCGTCGCCTCGGACTCCTTTATCGACAAGTTCATCAATGGGAGCAGCACTGTTTCCGGCACCGTCGTCGCGCTCTTCACGGCGGGCGCATTCTTCGGGGCATTCGGCGCTGGTTTCACGGACCCTCTGGGGCGACGTACAACGCTCGTGCTGGGGTCGGTGCTCTTCATCATCGGCGGGATTATCCAAACGGCCGCTGTGAACCTGGGGATGCTGTATTTCTCGCGCATCTTTTCAGGCTTTGGCATTGGCATTCTGGTGGAGGTTGTGCCGATGTTCCAGGCGGAGATTGCGCATGCCAGGATTCGCGGTGTGCTGGGCTCGCTGCAGCAGACTATGCTGGGGATTGGGAGTCTTGCGGCGAGTTGGATTGGATATGGCTGTGTGCATCGGTGGAATGGGACGGGGGAGAGCGTGCAGTGGAGGTTGCCGTATGTTACCTATCCACCTTCAACAAGAGGTAAAGCCGACTAACAAGGACATAGGCTTGCACTGCAGCTCGTCCCAGCCATCGGCCTGGCATCATGCATCTTCTTCTTCCCCGAGTCTCCACGCTGGCTGATCGACCACGACCGGCACGAAGAGGGCTTGCGGAATCTAGCCACATTGCACGCGAACGGAAACGAGTCCGATGCGTACGTCCTTGCTGAATTTGAGCTCATCAAGCAGCAGGTTGAAGAGGAGCATCGGCACGGTGCGAAGTCGTACAAGGAGCTCTTCTCCAATCGATCCAACACGCGGCGTATCATCCTGGCCTGTGCATGCCAGGCTTCGACGCAGATGTACAGCCCCATATAGAACAAGAGCTCTTTAAGCGGACGCTAACATAAACTGCCAGGACCGGCGTCTCCGCAATCCAATACTTCTCGCCGGCAATCTTCGCGCAGATCGGAATCTCCACCTCCCAGACGCTCCTCTACCAAGGCATCAACAGCATCATCGGCGAAGTCGCGCAATTCATCTTCTTCTTCCTGATCGACCGGGTCGGCCGTCGGCCCCTGCAAATCGGCGGCAACATCGCGTGCGGAATCGCATTCACCATCGGCGCCTCCTTGATGGCCGTATACCCGCCCTCGTCCACCAATACGTCAGCCCACTGGGCGTTTATCGTCTGCAGCACGTGGCTGTTTAACTTCTGTTTCTGCGCGTCCGGCACAATGAGCTGGATTATCCCGGCGGAGGTATTCAACACGGCCACTCGGGCGAAGGGAATCTCGATCGCGACGATGGTGTCTTTCGCGTTCAATACCATGATTGCGGAGGTGACGCCCGTTGCGCTGGAGAACATTGGCTGGCGGTACTATATCCTGTTTATCGTGTGTGATTTCACCAATGCGCTGTTCTTTTGGCTGTTTTTGCCGGAGACCAAGGGGATTACGCTGGAGGTTATGGATGATCTTTTCACGAACTCGCCGCTGCTTGTGCCGGGGAGTAAGTGGCAGCCCAGGCCGGAGTTGGACGTTGAGAAGGTCAAAGAGAGGAAGGATATCCTGGTGAAGTCGGCGGCTGTGGAGCTTGAGGAACTTGCTTAGCGGATGCTCCCTAAGAAGGATGGAAAGGGATAACACAGCGGCCATAGTGTCGGGTTCATTCACAGTAACTCGAGGCTTTCTGGCAGGTATTTCCTCGGGATTTTAGGAGAAGCAGGCGAACACAGTTGAGAGTAGTTGTGTCAGAGCTATAGTAGACAGCGATATATTTGGGATCATATTGGAGGGATATTTGTACTGAAACATCTCATGCCCATACACTCGTCGGCTACATAGAGCCTCGCGGAGAATTCGTTAATCGTATCGTAATATGCCTGGAGCTTTCTTTTCAAAACTAAGGGCTGCCTATGTAAGGGCCCCTGCAAACTAGTTTAAGTATAGTAGTATCTTCATATAGTAATTTTCCTACAAAGGCACAGGTCCCTATAGCAATATAATAGTTTTTACATTTTGTTATAAAGATTAATTATCAAAAAGAACTTTTAGTCTTCTATAATGCCTTTTTGCCCATGTAGTTTTAGCAAGCAGCAGGTTAGGACATAACGTTTCTGGTTCTATACCCATACGCCTATACACCTGATCTCACTACGCAGGCCATTCCAAGGTTAGTATCTGAGCATACTGCATTGAGCCTCTGCTCGAACCCGCTCTGGTCTTCTAGGTGGTTAGACCGCAAACGTATCGGATGTCTTTTAAGGCTTCCAAGCTTAGAGCCCTGGCCAGATCTCCGTTTCGATCTTTAGGCCAGATCAGTCGTGTGGCTTGCGGCGTAGGGATTTCCCATATTGCCAAATACCCAATTAAGAATGTCATTGCCAATTAATCCTCGAAGTATATCTCAACCGCCGCCGACTTGACAATATTCATCCACCCATCCCCGTCCGACAATGCCAGAACCACAACCCTGTCGCCAGCTGTTAACCTCCGCACAAAGTCACCCTGGTCATCTTCACCACTCGGCTTCCGTCCAGCAAAGTGTACATGTTCGCGATTCCGCGCCGAGTCCGAGAACCACGTACATTCGAAGCGGTGCGGCGCTGTCGACCGGTGTTTGTTCCGCGCCCACTCCCGTCTCAAGACGAGCTGGTCATTGCGTAGGATCGCAAGCGCAAAGGAGCTCGCGCTCGTGAATGATCCCACAGGTAGATCGTGGAACCACCTGTCGTCGCTCCAACCCTGGTCGCGGGCTTCGACTACGACATGCAGCCGTGGGACTGGCAGCTTGACGTTGGCGGGAATCGCCTCGCTGACCAGGTACCTGTCTTCGTGCACGACCTTGGGTACAGCGTGCGTGTACCAGTCCCATTCGCCGCGGACGTTCCAAGCGCATGATTCGAGTTCGGCCCCGAGTGTGATCGACCATGCCGTGCGAGTTGACAGAGTGCTTGTGGTCCCTGCGGGATTGGGTACTATGGGCCTATCCTTGGGCTGCACGATTGCCAAACAGCGATTCTGACTGGAGCACCAATCAGCCGGTATACGCCCGAAATTGTCCTTGGTATGTAGGCTGGCGCCCATATGGACAAGGAGCTCTGCGATGTCTGGGATATCGTGCTCCACGGCGTAATGAAGCGCTGTCTTCCCAAGATTGTCTTGCGCGTTGATAGTGGCAGACTGGTCAATTAGGAGCCGGACTGTTTGATGCTGTTGCCTGCTGACAGCTTTTATCAAGAGGTTCTGGCGATGCGTATCTGTGGCATCAAGCAGCGAATGGTCCAAGGCCGCTATCTTTGGGATTACCTCGGCCATCAGGTCCTCAGACCCGGTTTCAATGAAGTGATGGAGAGCAATAGGGCGATCCTGCTCAGGTACCAAGTCAAGAATGGTGTCCGCTTCGGCTTGGGACACAATATTGACCATAGCTTCGCAGACTGCCTTGAAAGTTCTGGAGCGGGAGGTATAGTCAAGGTCCCCACGGCCAAGTTTGCTGGTGGCATGCAATAGTGGTATATAACCCTTCTTGTTCTTGGAGGTTAGTAGCTGACGAAGGCTGGAATACGGTATATTGGCACTGGTTGTCCTGAAGTGTATCGCTCTATCCCAGTCGAGTATCAGATGGATAATATTCTCGCCTAACTCCCCTGATATCGAAAGGTCTGTACGTTTCAGCAGAAGCTTAAATATCCGGACGCCATCAGGGCCATCCGGCCTATGAGATGCAATATGCAGCGGTGTATGTCCGGTACGCTGTTGGATATTTGGATTCGCACCGGCATTGAGCAGGACCTTAACGGCGTTGAGGCTCTGCCAGTGAGTAGCCACATGTAGAGGTGTGTCTCTCCAATCATAATATCCGGTCTGACTTAGGAGGCCCTTTTCGATCTGCACAAAGAAATTGACGATATCCTGTTTATTTGTGAGAGCGGCGTGAAACAGAGCGCTACAGTTGGAATGATCCTGGTGGTACAGTAGATTGCGCCTCTGGTCAGGAAACGGAGCCAAGGCATCAACCACCATTTTGACAATTGAATACTGGGATCCATTGTCGGATAGCACTGCTATGTTGAGAATTGACTTGCGACTAGAGTCGTACTGCTCGGCAATCTGTTGGAGTGCCTCCTCTGGGAGAGATTTGAGAATCCAGTCGACGATTTTGGGCAAGCCCTGCGACGCGGCCTCGAAAAGCGCAGATTGGACAGATTGGACCCGTGGACTCTTGTACATGGGGTCGGCGCCATTCTGGAGCAGAAACAAACTAATATCCTCCTGTCGAGAGCTGCAGGCTAGCAATAGCGGTGTTCGATCCTCGCTGTCTTCTGCATTGACGTCTGCGTTCCCAGTCCCAACTAGGAGTTTCACGGCTGATATATGGCCCTGCTGGACCGCCCAGGCGAGGGCAGTTCGCCCATGTTGATTATCCCTCATGTCGACTTCCACTTTATTTTCCATCAATAATTGCTCTATCGCTGTGTGATGACCAAAGTATGATGAGACCATCAGGGTGGTGTGGAAGTTCGGAATTGAGTTGGAAATGCTGTATTTGCCAAACCAGGCTTTGAACCTCCGTAATTGAGGATTGCAAAGCTCGCGCGCCAGCTGCAATAACTCGTCCGTTGCTCGCGTTTGGGCCTGTCGGAAATGGGTTGTCCAGAAGAACGAAGCATACTCGACGAATTCAAGCTCAATGGTCCCTGCGCTGCTGGTAACGTCATCGCCAGAAGCCGTATCCCATTCGAAATAATCATCCAGGTCATTCATCGTAAGAATGGCGATGCAACTCGTGGCCAGGATGAGGTCAGACTGCACTGGGTCTAGAGAATGCTTCCATCCACCGGCAAGAACCCTGGTCTTCGCAACAAGGAACTCCCTTGCGGTCTGATGGATCAAATATATCTTTCGGTCCAGAATAGTGACGAAAAGGCCGCACATGTTCCTTACGGTGGTCTCAAATCGCTCCTCATCGTCAAGGATCTCTTCCAGGTCTTCATACGACTTGTGATGAAGTTCGATTGTGAGAGCAACATTTAACTCCTGCAGACTGAGAGGCCGGCTTGCCGCAGCAACAATTGACAGCAGCCTTCGTGCCTGAGGCCGTTCCGCGTCGTCTATTTTCGATAGGATTCCTTCGTAAGCTTTATCAACTGTCGGTGGAAGAGTCCTGACAATTTCCTTGAGTTTTCTGCTTGTCGGGCGGATTGTTCTGCACAGGATATCGACCACAAGCGTTGCCCAGAGGTACGTACGGTGCGGCATGGACAGAAGCTCGCCCTCGAGGGTGCTTTGCTCTGTGGCATTGAGTCTCAGTTCAAGGGCCAATTTTGACACTTTCCATTGAATGACCGTGTCTATCTCGCGGCTGATCGCTTCAGATTCCTCTTCTCCCGCAAGCCGAATCGTTGGGAAGTTACGAATGAGATCGGCGAAGCGCCGTTCGATGTTGGCGTAAGGTCGACTGGTAATAAGAAACTTGATACAACCGCTGCTCTTGTCGGAAATTGCTCGTTTGTAGAACGCACTGAGTACGTCAATGACCTGATATCGCTCCTTTTCTGCACATTCGTCGAGTCCATCCAGAATGCAGATGATTTCACCAGCTTTGGGGTCAGCAGCGGCCTTGAGTAGAATTTTCCACATCTTCTGGAACAGCTGCGGTAGTTTATTGCCCTCAGCTCTGTAGTCTTTAATTGCATGCTGGATGAGAGACTCTCTTTGCTGGAAGAGCTGGTGTAGAATAGCTGCCAACGCCGTAGTAGCGCTGGTCTGCTCTTCGTTGTCATCCTTGAAGAAAAAGTAGGCAACAGCGCGATATTCAGTGGCTGCTAATGATTTTTCTTGGTCAACCAAATACTTTGCTAGAACGGATTTACCACAACCTGGGTCCGCAGAGACCCAAAGAAGGGTTGACGAGGTGGTCTTAGCCCACTTGTTGAAGTTATTATGGTTTAAGAACCACTCGCAAGTCTTGTCAAGTCTCTCAGGGTTCCGGTCCTTGAACTGTTCGTAATATGACGTCCGCAAGATTTGGAGACACTGGCGTCTATCCTGAATTGGGATTGCTTCTAGTATAGGTTTAGAAGTTTGCTATCTAGTGGGAGACTCGAATGCGTACCAAAACTCTCAGTGCCGTCTACGTCTATCCACCTTGCCATGAGCTCCTCAAGGTCGTCCTTAACCATCTCGTAGCCTTTGTCGCTCCTCTCAGTGAACTTTACGATTGTCCTATGGTCCCCGTCTAGGGTTCTCGCACGCTGACTGGGATGATCAAGGGTCGAAGACTCAGGCGGAACAATCTTACCCTAGGTCAGTATCTGAAGACAAATAGAGGGTTGTTACGACACGCACAAGTTGACTGAGTCCTCCCCATCGAATGCCAGAAATCCCCTTGGACTCTTGAAAAGTCCTAACAGTAAGAGTCGTTCGGCGCTGCTCCCACTGGACAGTGAACGACTCCCGACAGAGTTCGAGCTCGGGCCCAGTAGGCAGTAATGCATGGATGACTTCTGCGTTAACATCCATACCCAGAAGACGGCTTGCAATGTGGGCAACGCCCTCTCCTAAGGAGGCCCAGTCGCGACTCCCTCGATGAGGCGTTCCGAAGAAGAAGATTCCTGTAGTCGAGGCGTAGAGTCTCCGGATATCTCCGTCAGGGTCATGCTCGGATCGCCGAAGGGCCTCTTTAACCAGGATTCCGCCAAGAGAGTGGGCGATAAATATCAAAGCACGACCGGGCGCTTTCCTCCTCTTCGCCTCGAGATCATATAACAGATTCCTCGCATGGGAAAAAATATTTCCCTGGTTAACTGGGCGGTAGCCTCGCTGAATGGTTGTATTATAGCCAAATGTCATGATCCTGGCTTTAGGAAAGTCCTCCTTGAGCAGGTCCTCGGGCCAGAATACACTGCCTGCCGGCGCCGCATTATCTATATCCTCCCCTGTGTCTGAGCCTGTGGCTTCGGTGTCCGGCTCCTGTTGCCTGCGAACATGGCCAAAGAGTCGGCTCAATCCGCTGGACTTTGTCCTCTTCGTGGCTCCAGGCAATGCTGTGGAATCTGCCGTAGACGACGAGTCTGGATAGAAAGTCCAAGTATTACGGGGATGCCCTTGGAGCCCGTGGACGAAGACGATGCTGCGAGTAGCGTGGGTCAGTAGCACACGGGGCAACCTGACCGTGACCTCATTCAAGAGAACAAGACTCATTCAGCAGCCGCATCCAGCGGATCACTCAACAAGCTCAGGCCGACGGGTCTTACAGCCGTGGATGAAGGCATTTGTTACTATGTAGGAAACAAGTCCAAAAATGGATAAATATAAACTACTCCACCTCGTGGAGCAAACCTTGGAAGAGCTAGCACTATGAAGTGTAATGGCATCAACAGTAGGACAACCCCGCACCTGAGCGTGTGGACCAACAGGGCTTGGCGAGTACGGCAACCTGTTCAAACACAAAGGCCAAAAATGGTTTTTGGTGTAAGCACTACCTAGTATTTGACCAGCAGTAAAACTTTACTACCTATAAAGTGCTCCGAGCTAGCGAGTGAGAGCCTGATTTGTAAGGCTACAAGGCTACAAGGCTACAAGACCACGTGCCCTGATAAGGATCCTGATAAGGTCTGCAAACACGGCAAACACAACTTTTCTCCAGCTCCGTCGCTACCTCCACCGAACCTTAAGCTTCTTCGAGCTTCAACACTCACCTACATCACCATCCGGTCCCGGTCAATTGGACCCAAGCCTCCTATCACAGTCACAATGCCTCCTCCAACCCAGAGCCAAACACCATCCCAAGCCCAAACGCAAATGCCCGATCTCACCTTCGAACGGAAAAACCAGGACATGGTGAAACTGCCGAAATGTACGCTCACCCTCTCCAGCCCTTCCTCTATTCATCGAAACGTCGAGAAACAGAATACTAATCAAGAGACCGACTTGAATAGACGCCCGCATCACCAAACGCCCCATCCCCCACGCCCCGATCGCCTCCCCCTACGCCGGCCCCTCGATCCCAAAAACAATCTACATTTCGTCGTCAACCCCCTACATGAGCGCCGTCAAGCGCGTACAGAAGCTCCTCCGCCACGCCGAAAAACGCGCGACAACGTCCCTGGCAAACAAAACGAACAACACCAAACGCAAATCCGCATCGACGCAGCAGAAGAAGCTCGGCGCCGGCGAGCAAAACCAGCAGGAACGGCTTATTGCCGCGCTGGCGAGGGGTGAAGAGCGCGAGCAGCTTTGTCAAGAGGAGGTCTTTGTTAAGGCTACCGGGAAGGCGATGGGGGTTGCGCTGAAGGTTGGGAAGTGGTTTGAGAGGAATGGGCGGGAGGCGGAGTATCAGGTTCGTGTTAGCACGGGGAGTGTGCTTGTTGTTGACGATGTTGAGGAGGATGAGGGGGCTAAGGAGGGACTGCTGAGGGTTGGGCAGGGAGTGGAGGGGAAGGGTGCGGATGCGGGTGCGGGTGGTCAGGGGAAAGGTGCCGCTGCGGAAGTCAGCGAGAATAAGGGCGATGAGACGACGACTATGCTAGGCGATACGACAATTATGACCGAGACCGATGCTGCGAAGTCGTCGGGTCCTGCGGCTGCACCGACGAAGCCAAAGGCAGACCCGAAACCGCTCTCGAAATCAGCACTGCGGAAACGAAAACGTGCGGCGAGTATGGCTGCTTCACTTGCCGAGACCGAGTTGCCGGAGACCAGGACGCGCTGGGTCAACTCCGTTGAGGTAGCTGTGTCTTTGAAGTGAGATACTTCGTCATCGTTGTCGCTGTTCATCAGGGATATAGCTGCATATACGCCGAGTTGTGGCGCCTCAGCTCGGTTTTGAAGTGAACTGCAACCATGACTGCGACTGGCACGCTGCGGGAAGAGAGCCTATTTCTACGCCAGACCTCGCACGTCTCATCCCATCACACTCAATCCATATCGCTATTGAAGATATCCCTAGCAGCATATCCGTCGGACAGCCTCCCGCCTTATGAGAGAGGCGTCGTCGTGAGCTCAAGCCCAGGTAGCCGGTTTCCCCTTGGTACCGAAAGTATATCGACCTTGCCTCACGACTTCAACTTTGCTGGCCAAGGCAGGCAGGCAGTGAGTCATGCTGAGAGGGGCAGAACACCTAGCCATTTCGCCTCTCGACTAACAAAGGTTGCACTCGAAGTATGGTGATGTCTGGAAAGCGCCATGCTCGCGAGATCACGATAGCGACAAGGCTCGGCCTGGCAGAATACTACCGCTGTAATTATTTTCGATGCCATCAGGTCGAACCGCGGCAGGCAGGAAGGACATGGGGTTAGCCATCATCTCGTCGCATCGGCGTGGGCTTCAAGTGCACCTCTGTCGTCGCTACGGCCTAGGATGTTTTCGGAAGATCGCAACCAGACCGGTGATAACAAGGAGAGAATGATGCTTTCCCGAACTGGAGTCCTGCTCAAGCGAGTCGGCCAACTATATACATGCAATAAAAAACTAGGAAAGGGGGATAGGGAAAGAACCCACAAAGCGAGCCTCCAACTTCGCGAGTGCAGATCTAGTATTTGTACCACGCTAAATGCAGCAGGTGCCTCTCAAACTGATCTTAGGACAAGAAAGTAGAAGCCAGTGACAATGTAAAGGGCGAGAACCCCATAGATATAGTCATTCGTCACTGATCAAGGAAAAGTCGCTATGATAGACTAGGTAATACACAAAGGCTGGGCACAGGCCTTGTATCCGCCAAAATGTGAAAGACATTAACAAGAAAGAGCCACTGCTGCCAGGAAACCGTAACTGGAACAGCATGGCATCTGGAGAAATGAAGATGAGATAGACAGGAAATATAGGGAGAGACATGCGATGTACGCAAGTTCGTAAGTGCAGGGGCATAAAACGATTTATAAAAAAGCGCCAGGAATCATGATCAACGCCGAAGACGACCAGAGTACACAGCCAATATAGAGGCTAAACCAGAAAATGTTTGAAAGCAGCAAGAAAAGATGCGGGTGGACGAGGTGTTGAAGGTCAGCAGATGGCGAACTTGTGTCTGTTACTTGTCCATCTTCTGCAACCCGTTCAGATACGCCATCAACCCAACTCCAAGAAGCACAACCCCCAGCATCGATGCAAGTGGACTGCCGACCTCGAAGGCGGCGTCTAGACGTTTAGAGGGCTGTGTTGCGAATGCCGTCCCAGTGTCTGTACCTTCAGCGAACGGCGGGGGTGCAATGTGTCGAGAATCGGACTCGGATTTGTGGGAAGTGGTAGACTCGCCATCCAGTGAAGACGAATCATCGGTGGCCTTCGCGGTCTGTGTGGGGGACCGTGACCGCTGCTTGCGAGCGCCAGCACGCTCCCTCCTCAGGGTCTCAATCATCTCAGCCAGCGATTTGCGGGTTTCGCCAGTCTCTGCCTCTGCTTTCTCCGCTCGTTCTTTGTAGGACGAGAGCTGCTTTCTCATCTCTTCCATATCCTCCATCATAGATTCCAGCCTGCGCTGTAATTTTTCGGTCTGGTCTTCGGCCGGCGCATGGTCTGGTTCCGGTACAGCAGTTTCGTGTGCCGATCCGGAATCTGATTTCTCGGCACTCTCTTCTTCGGCTGTGCTTTGTGGTAATCCATCAACCTGTTGATCAGAATCTGCTAGGCCGTTCGATCCCTTGGCTGACACAAGTTCTAATGATTTGGCCTTCTCCTCGGCCGACTCGCGAGCATGGCGTTCTTGCGTGAGTAGATTCTCAAGCTCTTTGACACGAGCCCCTTGAGTGTCGAGCTCTCTTTTGGCAGATGACAAAGCTTCGATAAGGGAGAGAATCTGGCTAGACTCTCGAGACACCGGTGAGCTACCAGCGCTCGACTTTGGCTTTTCTGTCTCGACACGTTTTAGAGGAGAGATCGCGTCCACGCCGCTCCGCAGCTGAGCATCGGGTTTTTCGGGTAGAGGCTGTTGAGGTGGAGGCGCCGGGGGTTCTGAGAAGCGCGAGAACGAGTCCATACGGGGCATCTTCGGCCGTCCGTTGACCTGACGTGAGGAAATGCTGTCACCTGGCGAGTGTTTTGGTTTCTCCTTGTCTGCAACACCCGGCTTCATGAGCCCGGATAAGAACTCGTCAGTCTGCCGAAGATCTTGTTGCTGCTGTTTCGCTTGTTTCATTTCGGACTGGTAATAAGATGTTAGTTTGGCGTTGAATCAAACACAGTGTCGACCTACAGTCAATCGTTTAACAATCTGTTCGATGGATAAAGGAGAGCTCCAGTAGTTCATCTGGCGCTGTTGCTGCATTGCGCTAAATTGAGTGCTAGCGTTACTCTGTGCGCTGCGCGTACTCGACGCGCTGCCGGCCCGCCCTCGGAGGTGATTCAATGGCTGACTGAGAGGAGAAGGGAGAAGTCCATTCCCGGAAGCTGGATCCAGATCGCCAAGGGTAAGATCGAATATGTTTGGCATGGTACCGTAGACACCGGCATGCTCGACCTTGGCGGCAACCTTATGGTGAACTACGGTCTTCTGATCCTCACTGACGATGTCAATTCCTAGTTCCAGGGTATCATTTTCTCGAATCTCATGCGCTTCCGAGTCACGATTTTCCGGAGATAACCGTTGGCCGTTGAGGAAAGTCCCGTTCGACGACTTGACATCTCGAATCAACACCTTTCCAGTTGCCCTGTCCGCCCAAACCTCGGCATGCTGCCGGGACAGCACCTTCGAATCGAAGAAACCATTCTTGGATGTAGGTACGGTTTTGGCGTTCGTTTGCCGACCGATTCGCAGGGTTTCAGGAAAGTACGGCAGGGTGATTTGCTTCTTTTCGAAAGTGCCATTGAGCGGAAGAAGGGTCAAGATTGCGGGAGGATCTCCAGCAGGCGTGCTCCCTGCGCGAACGCCATTCTGCTGAGACGACTGGAGGAGGTGCTGTGATGGAAGGATGGATTGGGGTTGCTGAACGCCAGACATAGCAGACGAGGCGCCCGCGCCGGAGAAGAAAGCTGGCTTCGCTTGCGAGCGCGCGGTGCTTATTCCGGAGACCGGTTCGGCCTTTGAACTGGGCCAAACACTCCGCGAAGATTTCTTTTTAGACGACGTAGTTGAAGGGTCTCCGTTAGCAGGTTGTCCTGCATCGGTACTCGACGGACTTGCCGCGATCGTCGACGTAGAAGAGTTGGAGCCTATCGAAGAAGAAGAATTGGACCTGTGCAAGGTCTTTCGAGGCATGAACATCCGGGAGACCTCGTCGGGGTTCATCGAAGACAGAGAGCCTTGTCCACCGTCACCAGAATCATACCATCCCAAGCGAGGCCCCGTCTGTACACTAGGTGGTGAAGCCACAGCAGTCATGGAGAAGGCGGTGGTTTGTGCTGAAGGTTGTGGATGTTCGACCGTTTATTTCATGAGCGCGGAGAAGAGAGTATATAAACAGAGTCGACAGGAAAGCAACGGCAGAGAATCAATCTATTCACTCGAGGCGATGTAATGCGAAGAAGGAGAGGTTCGTAGGGGGTAGGCGCAGAATGGCCTCGCTTGCGGTCTCGACCAACTGGTCCGGGGAGGTCACGTTAGCATCATGCGAGTCCCACCAAAACATGTCCAAGGACGTTGTGCTCCTCAAGGCCAGGAGATCGTAACCAATTAAGGGAGCATCAAAAAGCGTATAGCAAACACGCTTACCTCGGCGAGATGAAACCTTCCGGTAGCCAGGTCAGGTCAAGGTAGGACAGGAGCGAACGATGGTCCCAAATCAAGGAGGCGCGGAGGTGAGGAGTAGGCGGTAAGAACGGAGTCCAGGGGAAAGTGAAAATGAAGGAAGCACGAGACAGGTCAGCCGCCTTGCACGGGCCGGTGTAAGCCACCAAAACTGCGAGTTTCAGACACGCGAAAGCGAGGTTTCGTCGAGAACAAACCGCATGGGCATCGCAGCGGGAGGGAAAGTCAGCTCGCATTTCCCTTCATCCAGGCCCCGTCACGTGAACATCTCGTGGATTATGTAATCCCGCGCTGAAAATAGCAGGCGGTGTCACGTGCTCCGGTCGCCGGCTCGGATCGTCCGACTCCGACATGAGATGGCTGTCTTGATTGAAACCACAAGGTCTTGAAGACGTCGCGGGATTTGAACGAGACGACATTCTAAGTCTTTATTGAACATACATCGAAATGCCCGTTGTTGCCGGTCCCCCTCAGGCCCATGGGCCCTCTACCTTCGACAAAAGTGAGCTCCCCAATGAATCGCAGCTTGCAGTTAATGTTCGTATCTGCTCTGCGCGCAAGCAGCAGCTAACAATATTACAGTGAAGATGGGTGCGATGATGGGATCAAGTAAGTTTCTCCGTTCTTGGGAATTCTCGACAATTTCGCTAACAACTTTCTACCTTAGCCGTTGGCGGTATCATGGGCTTCATCATCGGTTAGACTTTCGAATCCCAAGTCGCAGTGAAATACTCATCAACGTCTAGGAACCGTCACCATCTTCCAATATGGTGCTGGACCTAACGGCGTTATGCGGACACTCGGAAAGTACATGGTTGGCTCTGGTGCGACATTCGGGTACGTCAGGATACACTTTCCGCTTGTCTGCGCAAATATCATCTCTTCCTCGCTAATACTGCTCATCTCCAGTCTCTTCATGTCCATCGGTAGCGTTATTCGATCCGAAGGCCCTCACAGCGACGCCTGGCTCCGGGCTCGAGGACCCCCGATCATTCTTCCCCGCCAGGCCCCTCTGCGCCGATCGCAAGAGTAAGCCGATACATCGCGGCGATGAAGGTCTAGCGAGCGGATGGGCCATTGTACAATAGCATATACCATCACAGTTGCCAAACTACTTGGGGGCTGTGCCAATTTGACAATTCATAGCGTGCCGAGGCAGATGGGCTAGGTAGGAGCGTAATTGGTATAGGCCTGGAGGGAAATAATGAGACCAGGTAACTGGGCTAGCTGAAGCTCTCTTGTACGGTATGGATCAATCATTTATGAATAAGTCATGAATTACGGGTGACTTGGTGCGATACATGAGGCTTTCCCTAGGTTCCGGGAAGGACGATCAATGCACAATCAATGACCTAGAGTAACATTGAGTGTATTCAGGAGACAGAACTTCAAGTGCGTAGCCCGCAATTCTGTTTATATGGAGTACCTTAGATACACCGGGCATCACTCACGATCACGAGAGTAATGACCGCCATGGCACCCCGCAATCGCTACTCCGCAAAACCTCCGATCCCTGCTCCACACTGCTTAATGCAGCCTCAACTTCAAGCAATAGACAACGACGGACTACCAAAGACTAGGGGAAACCCAAATCCTCACGAAGAAAAAATGACTAGACCACTACCGGTCTTTAGAAGGTTTCGAGTCTCTCTTCAAAACGTGTGCAAAAAGAAGGATGGATTCCATCTATGGACGTCAAAACCTCGGCTACGATCCGGAAACTTTAATCTACTAGCACGGAGTAAGCATCTCATCAACATGGAGAATATCTATCGAACATTCTATGAGAAACAGCAAGGCAAAAATGCGTTTTTGTTCCTCTACGCCGCTGTCTATCCTGTTCCAAGTCCCTAACTCCAAAGTCCAGTCTACCTTAGCAACTCATACTTGCGTTTCCACCACTCACAGATGCCAATACACATACCCAACGCATTCAGCGCGCGTGCTGCGGAAGCCGGAAGCCCAGGTACGGGAGATACAGACTCGGATGCCACCAGACGAAGAGCGCAACACAGGGGAAGATCGGGACGGCATCAAAGATATAGAACGGCCATTCGTGGTTGTTGATATATCCGTCGTGGCCTTCAGTGAACTCAACGAGGCGATAGATGGAGCGAATCTATCGAGCCAATATCCGTCAGCTCCGTTACATACACTAAGGAAGAGATAGCTTGAGGGTGCGGTCTTACCAGAATCATAATCGTCGCAAAGTTCACAGCACGCAACAGATGCGGCCAGTCGCTCTTCCGCGGCTTATCCTGAACACCCATCGCGAACTCATCCTGCCGTCCTCCATCTTCATCTACCGCCATACGACCCAGCGCAGGCGTATCGTTAACAAACCTCTTCGACGTAAAATTAAACCGAATCGCCGCAACAGTGAACAGCCCAAACGCCACAATCTGAACAACAACGCCCACGAGGGCCAGATCACGCCCGCGATTAAACGTGTCGATATCATCCTGGCTATCCCCATTCCCGCTCGTGATCATGACCGCCCCAATGAGTTGGAGCATGAGCGCGACTATATCAAAGCCGACGAAGATAGGCGTGACCCAGCGCGGCGGCACCCAGCAGATCTTGAAGGTGCGCTGGTCCCTCGGGACGACGAGGAAGATGATGCGGCCGAAGAGGACGTAGAGCGCGCCGGCCATGAGGACGGGGGCAAGGATAAGCAGGGCGAACTGGAGCACGTAGACGGTTCGGGCGGTGGTGTTTTGCACTGAGATGCAGCGGGATATGTAGCCGGTTGATTCCACTGGGATGTGTTAGTGATGACTGGCTGATGGAGAGGGATGTTTAGGATTAGCGATGGGGACGTACTGGCTGCAGCGATTACCATGACTAGCCATACAACTGGCCTGAAGCGGATCCATTGCACGACTGTCCCGATGAGGGCGAGGGTGTAGAGGGCTGCAAACACGGCTGCAGCGCCTAGAGAGGGTGCATACTCATAGTGGGACTCTGCCGATTCTTCTCGGGGCACGAGCATTGTGTTAAGGTTGGCTATGAAGGTAGGTGGTGCAGGTGAGGATGTTGATGAGAGTAAGACCAAATCACTGTCAGCTTGGAGGGCGAGGTATTATATACCTGGTGTTCCATGTCTATAGCCGAGTGAATATGGCATTCACCTGTTTACATGTACCTACTGCAGTGCTACGAGCTATTTACCTAGATGGGTTAGGTAGGTAGGTAAATCTACTGTCCTACCTAGAAAAGTACAAGCGCCTGCGTGCTGCGCCTCCTTCCTGCCGCTTTAGGACATTGTCGCTCCAAGTTAGGTAATTTCCTTACCCTTAATGGTGGTCTTAAATGTGCTTATTCTTGGTATTATGTTCTTTGTCTATTTACGGCAGTCTATATGACTCACCTTCCAAGTGTGTATACTCCGTGTTCAAGGTATGCAGTATGGATAGAACACATGCTAGACTTCTCCGAGGCTCAAAGACCGTGATTTGGGACCTAGAAACCAAACTACAAGCCTAGGATTGAATCTTTAGATAAAAATAGGTACAAAGGTGATTCACTTTATTTGTGTATGTACTAACACACAGCTTCCATATAATAGCCAACAACAAGATATCAATGACTCACGGTCTAAAGAACAGTAACCTGCTCACCCCCCTTCAACCAACAAACCTTGTCAATAATCCCCTCGTCCTCAAATGCCTGACGCAACTCCGCCCCAAACTGTGTAAAATGACCCCAGGACTCATAGTGCATCGGGACAAGAACATCAGCCTTCAAATCACGGAACAGCCTCGCCCCATCCTTTCCACCCATGGTAATCTGCAGCAAAGGTGCACCAGGCTCCTCAGAGACAGGAGCATGCGCATTCCCCAAGTTCATCACCGCCGCGCAGATATGGTACCTGTCCGCAATTGTCTGCAAGCCAAGATCATCCGCGTAGACCGTATCTCCAGTGAAATAGATCGCATTAGGGAGAGCCCCTCCACTGCCCGCATCGGTATGATACCCGAAGTCCTCGCCCGTGACAATAAACCCCGTACATTCGTCCCCAGGAACATGCTGTGTCGGAGTGGCGATGATTCTGAAGTTCTTACCAGCAATAGTCATGCTGATTTCCTCCCAGGGCTTCATACCGTGCACGGCTGGGCGAGGCGCGAGATTCTTGGCCCCGTCGACGGTTGTGAAGACATGTCGCGCGTCGAGGAGCTTGCGGCCCAGCTCGTCCAGGTTATCGGGGTGGTCTTCGTGGCTTAGGAGGACGGCGTCGATGACGGGGAGCTGGTCGAGGCGGAGGGCGGGATCGTCGGTGACTTTGAGGATAATGCGGCCGAGGTCCCAGGTGGTTCCGGCGGGAGAGAAGAAAGGGTCGGTGAGGAAGTTGACGCCGTTGATTTGGAGGATGGCGGTGGCGGTGCCGATGTGGATGACTTTGAGAGTGGGAGCCATGGCGGTTGGGTATGCGAATGGGATAGTAGGTAGAGAAGGGTAATGATGATTGAGAATGGAATGAGATGAGAGACCGGGGCTTTTCGAGGCTTTATACTCTAAAGATCTATGATTACATGACCATGAAGAAGAAGGTTTCAGGTTCCATCTAGATCTACCCAGCAGTAGTCTTTTGGCATCCCGCCTGTGTCGGACAAGAGGTGGAGATCCCTTGGATCTCCGCGGCAAACTTAGTTGGATAACTCCAACTAACCTCCAAAAATAGGAAAAAAATTAACCTCCAACTTTAGCCAAATCTCACGGCCTAATTAAAAAATAAAATATAAAAAAAAAAAGGGATAAATACAGCTTAAATTTTTTTATATTTAGCTATTAAACTTTTATATTCTTATTTATTTTAAATTTTAAAAAATTTTATATTTTATTTACCCCTTAATTCTTATTTTAATTTTATATAACTAATTTTTACCTAAGGTATTTATAACTTTAAAAGTTATAAGCCCGGCTTATATTTTACTTTTTTAAATATTATTTATATAATTATATTTTTAAAGCTATTTATTACCTAAATTTAAACTTTTAAAGTTCTTTTTATTTACTATATAATATATTATAAAAAATTTTTAATTTTTACCTATAAATACCTAATTTAATATTATTACCCTAAATAGCCCTAATACATAACACCTATAATATTAAATTACTAAATTAATAATTATAGGCCTTATAATATAAAATTATATTAATTTTTTAATTAATAATAAAAACTTATTACCTATTTTTATTAGCCCAAGGCTAATTCTTAAAAATTACTACTTTAATATTTTTAAAAAAGGCAAACTTTAAATAAGTTATTTAATAGCTAATAAACAAGGTAGATTTTATATTATTATAAAAAAATATTTTATTTAAAAAAAAAATATAAAGCTTTACTAGGTATAATAATAGCTTATATAATCTTAATTATATTTAGCTTTTATTAATAATTTTTATATAGCTAAAAATATTCACGTGTAATGCTTTAACTTTTTATAAAATATTATATATAATTTAATATTACACGCTAAATAAAAATTAAGGCAAAATAAAAAAAGGCAGCTATTTACTAAGGCCTTTTTATTAAAAAGTAAATTAATAATTAATATAACCGCTGGGTTAGTATATTTATTAAAGTTAAAAAGTTTAATATTTTTATTAGTAATTAAAATACTAACATGCTTTAAGACTTTATATACACTATTATAATTATTAATAAAAAGTTTAATTAAAGGCTTTACATGGCCATTTTTTTTAAAAAAAAAAAAACTTTATTAATACTATTAAAAAGTTTAAAGTATTTTATATACTTTAGGTTGTTTATATTATATACAGTAAATTTAAATAATAATTAATAAATAATACCTTTACCACGCTTGGAAAAAATAACTTAATAAATAAAAAAAATAAAAATATTAAAAATAATAAGAAACCCAAGAAAAATAGTAAAAATAAAAATAATAAATTAAAGCTAACATGCCTTATATATAACTATTTATATTTTATTACTTCCTGCTAGTATTTTAACACTAAAAAAGCTTTAAAAAATTAAAAGCCTTAAGAAAAAATTTTATAAAAAGTAAAAAAAAATATATAAAATTTAACTATTAAAAAAAGAGTACTAAGCGCCTTTAAAAAATCTAAATTTAATATTATAATATTTAAAATTAAGGCTAAAAAAAACAACTCTAAAAACCTAAAAAAAGTTATAATAATAATTACTTATTTATTATTTAATAGCTTATAATATAGCCTATATAAAAGTATTATTACTAACTTTAAATTTTTTATATATATTACTAATAACTTTATTAAAATAATTAATATTTGCAACGCCTTTAAAAATAATATTATTTTTATTAATAATATTATTAATAAAATTAAAAAGTTTAGTATACTCCGCGTTTTTTACAAGGGATTAAATAGCTTAAAAAAACTTTTAAAGCTTAAAAATTACGCCTATATTCCCGGCTTTTATATTATTATTATATCCCTTAATAAAGCCATGTTAGCAAATCTATATTTTAGTAGTTATAAAAAAACTTTTAAAAACTTAAAAAAAATAGACTTTTACATACTTAAATAATATTATAAATTATACACACTTTACTACAAGAAATTTAATATTAATAATAATAAAAAAATTAAGGCCTTTTATACTATAATAAAAATAAAAATTTAATACTCCATAACTTTAAAAATATTATTAAAAAGCCTAAAAATTTAGTATAAGCATATAAGCTACCTTAATACTAATATAGTATTTAAACTTTTAATATTTATAACTAGTATATAGATTAATCTAGCACCTTAGCTTTTTAATAAAAAGTAAAAAAAAAAATTATTTTATATACCATGCAAACTTTTATAATTTTTTAAATAAATATTATAAATTAAATTAACTAGAGCAACCCAACTTTTTAAAAGAATTTATTTTAATATTTTTACTTTTAAAATATCTTAAAATAATATAAAATATACTTTTTATTTTTTAAATAATACTACCTAAATAAAATAAATAATACTACATGCTAAAAAAAATAATTACTAGCGCGCTATTTAATTGCTTAATACCTATATTTTTAGGTAATTTAGCCTTTATATTTAGTTTTTTTACATGGATAATAAGATATTATAACTTTTAAATAACTTTAAATTTATTAAGAAATAATAGGGTTTAGCCTTTAAAACTACTATTTTTAATATACCTAAATAAAATAATATAAGTAAGTAATTAAAAAAAATTATTTTATAAAAAGTTAAAGTACTTTTATTAGCTATTAATATACCCTAAAATTTTATATTTAAAGTTATAAAGGTGTTTATTTATATACTAAATTATATACTTATAAAAAATAAAAAAAATAAATAGTTTATACTACTTTAAAAGTTCTAAATATTAACAGGCAATACTTGCCTAGTAAATATAACTAATATTTTTAAGTTTAAATTACTTGCTTACTAGCGGCTAAAAATCCCTAACTTTTATAAAATAAAGTTAAAAGCAGTTATTAAATATCTTTATAAATATAAAAAAGCCTATAATATTTAAAAAATCTAAAACCCTCGCGCCAAAGCCATATAATATTTAATTATTTAAGTAAAAAATATAATATTTAACAAGGCAAGAACCTATAATAAAAATAACTTAATTTATATAACTAGTTTAAAATACGCTATCCTAGCATATATTAATAAAAAAAAAAAAAAAAACTAGTTAATATACTGTTTTTTATTAGTTTTAAAAATAATTTTTTTAAATTTAATAATTAAAATAAGCCTACTCCCAAGCCTAATAATATAAAAATAAGTAAAAATAAAAAAATTAAAAATAATAAATTTTATATTAAAATTAATACTTAAAATAAAGCTATTCCTAACTTACCTACTAATTTAATATTATATAATAATAAAAACCTTATAAATTTACTTATTTTTATTACTAGCCTAAGCTTAGCAAGTATTATAGCTAATTAAAGCTTTTAAACCTATAATAATTATAAAACTATTTTAATAACACCTAACTAAATAATAAAAAGCAAAAAAAATAAAAAAATTTTTAATTTTAAAAATAATAGCGCTAGAGGGCTCCTATAACTAAAAAATAATATAAATAAAAATAATAATAAAAAAAAAACACTAATACTGCTTTCCTTTAAAAAATCTAACTTAAAACCATATAAAATTAATATAAAAAAAGGGGAGTAAAATCCTAATCCTAGACTTTTAATTACGCAGGTTAAATTAAATAAAAAGGCTTAATATAACCGCCTACACTAAAAGTAAGATTTAAAAAATTTTATAAATAAAGACCGCCCGAGATAAAGGCCTTTTTTTAAAGTTTTTTATATTAAACTTTTTTACTAGCTAGTAAAAAATTTTACTAAATATTATATTTTTTTTTACTTAATAATTTTTAAACCTTTTAAACCATTGCAAGAGGCACTAGGCAAAATTATTTATAAAAATTAACTTTAAAAAAAACTAAAAAACTAGGCAGAACTTATAAAGTATTTATATAAAAACTAATTTATAAAGGCTGCTAAAATTAAATTTAGTACTTTTAAAAAACTTTATACCTTTAAAATTATTCTTATATTAAAAGGCAAAATTATTATACTGCTTATATAGGTGTTTAAATATAAATTTAATACTATTAATTATTTAAATAAATTTAAAGCGCGCCTTTATACTAAAAAAAATTTTTAATTAATTAATTATACTAATACTATAGTAGTAACTCTTACTACCTAATTATTTTAACTTATAATAGTACTTATTACTTATTTTAACCTTAATATTATTTAATTAAATATTATTAACACCTTTATTTAAAGCTTTATAAATAAAAAAATATATATTAAAATACCACCTGGCCCATGGTATATTAAAGGCAAAGTATTTAAGTTAAATTAACCCTTATATAGCCTTAAATAATTACCATGTATTTAATAAAAAAAATATTTTTAATACTTTTTAAATATAGCTTTAAGCTAGTGCCGGAAAAGCCTTACCTTTTTATTATAAAGTATTTTATAATTATTTTTTTATTAATAATATACTTATTATAAGTAAAAAATTAGCTAAAGCTAAGAAAAAGGCCACTAACTTTATTAAATATATAAAGTATATATATAAATTATAAAATCTTGGTAAAATAAAATAGTTTTTAAATATTAAAATTATCCATGATTATTATAATTAAAAAATTTAATTATTTTAAGATTTTTATATTAATAATTTACAGGCTAAATATAACCTTATAACACCAAGTAAAATATTAAAAATACTTTTACTTATTAAAAAATTAACACCTGCGCCTTTAAATTATACACCTATAAAATAAAATATTTTTTTATATTAATAACTTATTAGCTTATTTTTTTATTTTATTATAATAACATGCCTTAATATTTTTAAAGCAGCTAGCAAGCTTGCTTAGCATATAATATAGTTTATTAAAACTTATATTAAAATAGCTAAGTATATTATTTAGTATTTTATTATTATAAAGAACCTAAAAATTAAATACTTGGCTAATATTAAAAAAATTATTATTATAATATTTAATACTTTTTTTTAGTAATAATTTTAATTAATAAAGCTTTAATAAATAGCTTATAAAGCTATTTAAAGGTTTAATTAATTAAAATACTTATAAATAAAAAATAATTACTATTTTTATTACTAAAGCTAAATTACTTGCTATTACCAAGGAAGTAAAAAACCTTATATAATAAAAAAAACTTTTTAATATTATAAAGTTTAATTTAAAGGTTAAATTANTAATCCTATATTTATTATATAACTTTAATATATTAATATTTACTATTACTAGCTTTGCAAGAAGTATTAAAATAAAAAAATTAAAATTAATTAAATAAAAATAAAAAATTAACTAGTAAATAACCTTACTAAATTCCTTAATAACCCATGTTATAAAATATTTATTTACTAACTTAGCCTTATTAAAATTAAAGCTATTTTTAACACCTAGTATTAGTGCTTTTGTTTTTTTAAGTATTAAAGGGTGTATTAAATAAAAGGTAAAAATTTTTTAAATTTTTATAGTAAACTTAGTTAAATAACTCCAACTAACCTTTAAAAATAAAAAAAAAATTAATTTTTAACTTTGGCCGGATTTCACGGCCTAATTAGGAAATAAAATATAAAAAAAAAAGGAATAAATATAACTTAAATTTTCCTATATCTAGCTATTAAACTTTTACATCCTTATTTATCTTAAATTTTAAAAAATCTTATGTTTTATTTACCCCTTAATTCTTATCCCAATCTCACATAACCAATTTCTGCCTGAGGCATCCGTAACTCCGAAAGCCTGTCACTCGGCATCCCGTCCGGTATCCCGTCCGGAATCCCACCAGGGCCCGGCATCCCTCTTGCCACTGTGGTTAGTCGTAAGGTTACCAACCAACTAGAGATCTCAGCGAAGCTTTAATGGCTTTTAGTAAACCTATCAGCTTGGGGGAACGCTTAGCTAAGTCCATTCAAGTGGGAGACGCCGATGAATCGGAAAAGCCCACCTCGGCAACTGATCGAAAACCCAAGGATTTCCCTATTATTCATACACCGGGTGTAATAGGCAAGTGCCCCAAGTGAGGGAAGTTGACCATCATCACACGCAGGAAGTCTCGAAATACTATTTTTGCATGTCAAATTTTGATGCTGGGAGCTACTACTTGCTACCCTGGTATACTAGCTTTGGACTCGTTAGTCCATGCTCAACAAAATACAGCACAAGTGAAATGCAACAGATTTTTTCAAGTATCGCCCAGATGCAAACTGCCCAGCTTAGAGATATGATTGAAGAACAAGGACAGATGGATTTGAGGTGGTGTAAAACAATGCAAGTAATTCTATTCTAGATGAAAGCACTTTTCAAGAGCATAAAATGAACAATCTATTGGATTGTACAAAACTCGACCTCCGCAAAGAACTAAGTGAAGCAATACAGTGTGCCTAGTTCACATACCCTCTTTGCTCTTCTCAATCTCCTGTATAATCCGACTCGCCTTCCGAATCCTATGGCCCTGGAAGTAAAAGACAACAGGAATAGATACACAAACTGCCTCCACAATCCCTAGCAACGTACTCGCCCAATTGAGCCCGAGAGCACCATACATCGATGGCCCCGCAAGCGGCAGACAAGCCCCCATCAGACTGCGCACGAACATATTCCCCGACAGCGCAGAGGCAGTATACTCCCCATAAGAGCGGGCAATGTAGTTGGTAGCATAGATAAACACACAGGCATTCCCCGCGCCAAACGGCACGCCTGCGAGAATCGGTGCGATCCAATGGACATCCGGCGTGCAGGTCCACGCGAACCACAGCTGGCCGGCCGCGAGGAGGATCGCGCCGAAAACGACGATACTGGCCATTGCCTCGGGGGCCACTTCGCCGGTTGACGGGTCCTTGCGGTGTCTGTCAATAACCTTGCGGAAGAGAGGCTCGCATGCAATGGCGATGACCACGCCGGTGCCGATACCGACGAACGAAAGGCCGCTGAGGTGAGGGGGCCAGCCGCGCTGTGTTTGGAAGGCGATCGGGTAGGCGACGAAGCAGAGGTAGAGGACGCCGTAGACGAGGGCGACGTAGCTGTCCCAGAATATGCTGTTATCGTCAGCGTCCTGCAGGGGTACCGAGTTGAAAGTACCTAGGTATGTGGACAAGACGTACCAGATGGGCTCGGTCAAGAGCATGACGAACGGGCGGCTGAGACTGGTAGTGAGCCGCGTCGACAGATCCCCCGCCACCTGGCTATCATATCGCGTCCACCAGTTAGGATCTCCTGTCTCCTTTCGGCGCCTTGCTGCGCGCCTTCGAAGAATCACCGGGGCATACGTCTCCTTGATACAACACATCAGGACGAAGACAGCACCGCCAAAGATCAGAACAATCCAGTTCGTCCACCGCCAGCCCAAATACTCATACACAAACCCGCCAATGATAGGACCATACACCGGCCCATTGGTCGGCCCAATTGACCAGATCCCAAACGCCATGGCACGATGCCGGTCAGAGATTATATCATTCACCGAAGCAGGGGAGTTGCCCATGATCGCGCTGCCGAAGAGACCGCCGAAGAACCTGGCGATCAATATTGCTTCAATGTTCCGCGCCAATGCGCTCGGCAGGACTAGCAACACAAATATCGCCAGGCAAACTATATACACAGGCCGGCGCCCGACCATCTCACTCAACGGCGCGGATATGATGGTCCCAAAGGCCATGCCGAGCATGTAGGTGGTGACGCCCAGGAGCGCGATGGTTTTTGAAACGTGGAACTCGGACTCCAGGCCGGGGATTCCGGACGTATAGAGTGTGCTGAAGAGACTGACTACCGTGGCACCGAGGCTCATTGTCACCACAATGAGGCCTCTATACCATAGCGGCCAGAGACGAGGGTTTTCGGGGTCGTTGAGTTCCCAGCAGACTTCATAGCTCGGGGGCTTGTCCAGGGAGGCATTTTCGTGGTTGAGATTGGTGGGAGGAGCCATATCTCTTGTTAAACTGAAAACAGCTCCCTGATTACTCGGCGTCTTGTTTATATACTCCGGCAAGCGGGATGCCGAGCGGGATGCCGGCTAGCCCTGGCTTACTCAATCTTTAGAAGTAACTACACCCTAGGGCAAAGTCAGGTATTCCCCCTGTTCTTCTCCAACTCATGCAGACAAACGCAGCTGGCCAATAAGTATACATACCCTACCTCTGTTTCACTGCCAACTCCCGGGGTGCAGTGCGACTTCTCAGAGGAAAAAACCTAACATCTCAATCAACATGCAGCATGACATAACCAAGGAGGCCGTGACTTGTGGCGCTGGCCGTTTTGGAGTAAGTGTTTCTGCCCATTCATCAAAAGTTCGGGTCTAAAGTACACCGATTGTGTCTTTTACTAACGGAGAATGCGGGCTCACAATGTCCCTAGCCCTGATAGCTCCCTCATCCTGCCAGACCTACTACACAACATCTGTCTGGATGACTCGATGGCAGAGGCATTCGGCCATGAGTCATACAGAGCCGGTGAGGATCGAGATTGGTGGCCTTTGTTGATTTCAGAACAAGCGCTCATCTAGGTAGGTATCACTGCTGGGTGATCAGGGTCCACGGGTGAGGGTGGCGCAACCCTTACCGTACCCACTGCTCACCCAATCACTCACCCTACTAAGCTTTCTTACTCAGGTCATGCAACTTTAGGGCTGTATTGCTTGCCTATTATAATAAGCAGGGCAATAATCTCGGTGTCTGTTGTTTCTTTGCTTGGCAGGAAGTTGCCATTTAAATACCATCTCTCCCGGGAGAAGGGGTGTAGGAACGAGAACTAATACTATCATATTATCAAGAACACGACATGTAGGGAAGCCACTGTGACTAAAACCACGCTGAATGTCCTTTTGTCGTGGGGTCCAACATCTCGGCCCTCAGCATTAATATGACTTCTACTCTACAGGGATTCTACGCAAGCAGCGTATTTTCAAAGTAAGCTCTGACGGATGAATGAGAGATCCTATGCCACTTCTTGGCCAGACACCTATTCATCAAGTCATACAAGGAGATTACTGGATCAATTCAAGACCGTACCTTCGTTTAGACTGAGGGTCGACAGTCCAGGGTGTCAGACAACCTCCGGAAAGCGAAGTATAATGAACTTTATTCCTTCATTTGCATCATAGACACTTCATTTCCATTCCAACAACAAAGGCCGGGTATTTAAATTACCATGATCCTTTGCGTCCACCCCATTGATTCCCCTACCCAAGCATCGATTGCGCAATCTGCAGCAGTCAAGTCCGTCAGCATCTGCCAAGTCCAACCATGCGTCTCTATCTACTCTTCGCGGCGATCATGCCATGTATCTCGGCGATCCCAAGCCTGGCAGTCCTCTCAGTCTCAATCTCAGACGGGGAGAAACCAGACCCCGGCGAATCAGCCTGTCTCCGGTCTTGCTTTGACGACAAGCCCGCCTGCCCAGACAACATGGTGCGTTTCCTTTCGTGTGGACACAGCAGGTCTTGCTAATTAACCTCCTCGTATATAGATAGCAAAAGAGCTCGTAAGTGTTCTTGACACCCCCGCCGCTTAACCGCAAGTTCCGCAACCCGATAGCATTCTAACCAGACCGGAGGGCAAATGCTGGACATGCTGCCTACAAATACCCGACGACGGAGGCCATCGACCAGAACAGTCTGACGGAGGCCATCGACCAGGACAGTCAAGTACGCAGGACCTTCTGCGTGACCAGGGCTCAAATACCACTGGAGACCGTGAGCGACACACCCGGACCTTAGCCACATGCACTGGTGACTTAGTCTGACCATCTACACGTTCTAGCTTCGGCATCATGCTGGGGGCCCGCGGAGTACTGCTGTACGGCTAGCGGTTGCGCCTGGTGCTGCCCTGGCCTGTATTGCAATACGGGGGGGCCGGGGAGGCCGGGCTGGCAGGGGTATTGCTGGAGATGAGAGATCACAGTCTTCACAATAATGCTCTGCATTGTGGTCTCGCTGTACGCTTTACCGGCGAGGTAGGTCTATGGTAGTGGTCCAATTTGAGCAGGGCAGGGTGATTTGACTCCTGTACTTTGGGGGTGGATCGTGGCAGCTGAGATTAATTTGCGTGACTCCTGTGCCATCCGTTGTCTACATATCCTTAGGAAAGTAGAGTGTTTCTTAGCTCTTCTATTACTTAGGGCGATTGTCTGTGCGAATGCAGATATTCTTTCTCAGAACTGATCTTGTGCCGTTTTCTTATCATTTATACTCCGTACAAGGCATTGCTGTGCGGTACCGGGAGAGGTAGTGGGCACGGGACGTCCAAGGTTATCTACATACCAGCTTTGCCGCTTCCTCACCCGCTTCCTCACAATGGTACCTATACAAGTGATAGAGTTTAGTTATCGCCCAGATGGAGTCACTAGCGGTGCATTTGGTGAGAGACTTTAGAATAGGACTCAGTCCGAGAGGCGGAAGTATAATAACCTTAAGGGTCTTTACGACGCCGGCCATTTGATATCCCAGGGAAGTTCCTGCTCACCAACCTACTACTTTATATCTCTGAAATCTTTAGATAGCACCAGCTTATAGCGGTGGCACATTCCACCCATGCTTAGTCAAGAAAATGAATATATGGAAAGTTTACCATTCACCCTGTATACAGTAATCTTTACTTGGTACGGTATACATCTGTAGGAAATAAAGGTGCGAGAAGCAACGTCACTTCAGTTCCGTGTGGCCCCCAGACGGCGGATCGAACTGATGGACATGCATATTCTCGTTAAGCTGTCCATTCTCCATGGCAAAGCTCGTTCCCATCGCTCTATTATCTGTACCTCCTCGGTAGGCACCCAACTGAGTCCAGTCCACAGTATGATCGTCAATAGTCTCCAGACTGGGATAAGGAATTCGCCAGACCACGGGGGTAAAGTACCCCGCCAGCTGCAATGTCCGCATCCAGGTCTGGAAGACATCAGAATAACGGTTGCGGCCGTACTGGCGATTCAGAACCGCGAGTCTTACCTGGGCCCCAATCGGGTACCAGGTGGAGGTACGGTCTCTGCTGCGGCGATGACACACGAAAACAGGACTGCGAGCATTGCGGCCAGGGCCGCCGCCACGAGTGCGTGTCTCACGGTTGTAGACACGGAGGTTTCGTCCGTCTTGAACGGTGTAGCGGCCGTGGAAGATGTTCACGTGGGATGTGGCGGGGAGGGTGCGGCCGCCGCCCGTCGTCAAAGTCGGATGGTTCGCGTCAAAGTGGACGTGGAACACCACGAAGCGGTCGGGAACTGTGCCCTGAGCGGGATCTCTGAACTGGTCGAAGTTGGAATCGACTGTTTCTGGCGGGTTTGACTGGCCCATCTCCTCCTCTGTACCAAGGTAGTAGGCCAACTCTAGCGTCGGCCCTTCGGGGTGGGCACCGGTTGCTGCGCCGTAGTGAATCCAACGGGCGTAGTTTAGAGGTATGGTGCCATCATTGATGGCCCGTAAGATAGTGATCACGCTTGGGGCACCCTGCTGGGCAGCCACGTTCGAAGTTCCTTCTACACAGCTTGAGCACACGCGCATATATGGGATTGATCAAGGAACCTACCGACGGGGTTGAGGCGTCGCTCTTCAAGGACTTCGAGGTCTCTCGTGTCAAGGTAACCATCGTCTTCTCCCTCTTCCTCCCCATCCTCGTAGCAATAGTCGTCCTCAGCCTGTGTGATTTCTCGAATCATCGGCCCTGCATCGATTGGACTCAACATCATGTCAGTGATCCACGCGCGGAAGTCTTCGAACCCGCTCTGGAGCGTGTCAATCACCGTGGTCGTGAGATTGCCATACGTGAGCTGGTAGTCATAGTTGTCAGCGAAGCCTTCATTATAAGCGCTGATCATTTGCGGCGACGGTGTCAAATCGCTGCGGAACAATATGAACAGCAACTGCATGAGCTGTGTCCAGTTGGTGGGCGAACAAGTGCTGGAAGACGAGTCTCGCTTTGTGAGGACTCCGTAGTAGTAGTCCATACCACTTTCTTGCGTCGCTGGGCAATACGGGGCCTTCATATAGTCCTCCAAAAGGCGTACGAACGTTTCGTACTCCAGATTCCCATAGGTACTGCGCGCCGTCAACGTCTTCTTCCGCGCCTTGCCCTTACAGCAGAAAGCCTGGAATCCCTTCTTACAGCTGCCCTTGTGCATCGCCAGTCGAACCGTCCCATCAGGGCAATCGGCCTCGCAGTAATAATCGTCGGGAACCCCGTCAGCGATGGCTTTCCCATGGCTGTACCATGCGCACTGCGTGAACTCATCGGGAATGCTAGTACAGCAATAGGACTTCCTACCGGGCCCACAAGTCTTGTCCCCACCAAATCCGTTGCTGGATGTAACAAGTTTGTCCGAATAGTTGTTGTCACACTCGGCATCCTTGCCTTTTTCCGCGCACAGTGGCGATGTGCCCACCCATTCGCACCTTGAGTATGGCTTAGTGACATCTTCGTTGGTGCAGCAGGCAACCTGATGACCAATATTGCAACCTTCGGAGAGCGTGCCAACTTTCACCTCACCATCATGACAGCCTGCGCTGCAGACGCCACTAGAATGGTACCCGCGCCATGTGCAGGTCGGTTGCTTCTTGTCAGCGGGGCAGCAAAATTTGGTCTGTGGTTTCCCATCTGATGTCTTGACGCACCCGGTGGTATCAGTCATCATCAGCTCTGTGCCATCGCGTGGTACCTCCTTGAAACCGCTAGGGCAGTTCTCGCCGCATGCAGTCCAGCGGCAGATGTTGTTCACTGAGTTGGTGTATGTAGTCACGGTTGTTTTCTTCGCAGGCTCAATGGTGACAGGCTCGATCACCTCCCGATTAACGGCGGACACGAGAGCCTTCGCGTTAGATGCGCTATCATCGTCTTGACTGAGTGCCCAAACCATGACCCCCGAGATGCATTGCTTGCTAGCCCATTCGGCCTTGAGCTTCCAGGTGTCCTCGTCATCATATGCCACCCACTGGCTTTCCCAGCTTAACGCCTTGACTCCTGCATCCTTGTGCAAAGTGGGCTTTAACTTGTTGTCTGATATGATGTTTTTGATCTCCGGGTTCAACAGGATACCGGCGGTATTGGAGCAGTTTCCAGCGTTACCCGCAGAAATGTACTCACAGCCAGGTTCGGTACAGCTCGGATCCACCACTGTAAAGCTGCGACCGTAGAAGGCCATGCCAAGGACAACTTTATCTGGATCGATGTTGTTTCGCCAGAGGAGATCGAGTGACGTTTGCAACTCGGTGATGTTGGTGTGGGCGTTCAGATAGGGGCCAACATTTTTGTCAGGCATGTCCCACGTGCCGTGAAGATCGTAGGACATGATATTGAACCAGTCAACGTAAGGTTCCATTTTCACGATATCAAAGTGCTGCATGTCTGGAAACCAGTTAGACAGAGCTTGAGGGAAAGGTTTAAATCACGTACACCAGTAACTCGAAGGAAGAGTGATTGAAAGGCCCTTGGATGATCCAGCCCCCTTGACCTTCTGCTTGACTTTCTTGAGTAGGGCCGTGAAGTTGTCAAAGTCATCCTCACTGCCACCGCGGTCCGTGTCGACCGGATACTCCCTGCAACAGTCAGCCCGGAAAGGACATGCTACAAAAGGATTTGCTCGCTCACCAGTCAAGGTCAACACCATCGAATTCATAAGTAGCCATGAATGAATTGAGAGATTTGATAAATGCATCCTGATTCTCCTCGGTTGATGCCAGATCAGAGAACGTAGTCTGTGTCGCACCTGGGTCATTAAAGCTCCAACCGCCAAGGGAAATCCATATTTCCACGTCGGGTTGGAGCTTGCGGATCGTCTGAATGTCGGTCATCATGGCTTCGCTAGTGTCATCCGTCGCTTGGACTTCGAAAGTGGTGGGATCGATCGTTGCAAAGGCGAAGCTTGTTCATTGTCAGCTTAGACCACCGATTATTTGAGACTCGAACATACTTGAGGTGAGTATAATATCCGACTGGGATATTTGCTGCTGCCATGGCATTGCATGATCTCTCGCTCTGCGCCCAGGATTCATAGTACCCGATGACTTTCGAAAACTTTGACTTCGAAGAGCAAGATGGTCTGTCCACAGTCTTATCCCCGCAGAATGAGTCTGTCGTTCCGCAAAAGCCGTATCTAGACAGCGCGTCAGGACAAGAGTATACCTGGAGAGGACTCATAGACATACTTGCTGCAGCAAACATTCAACGGACATTTTGTCGCTTGGGCATACTCGAGCCCCCAATTGTCAGGATCACATTCGGATTTCGAATCGCAGTTCGCAGTACAATTTCCAGCCCTGTGGACATGAACTCAACGTTAGAAAATGTTTCTTGAACTCAAAGGGCTTATACTACCCGCAGAAGGTCGGTCCCATTCCACAGTATCCAGATTTACTGCAACATCCCAGCGCACAGGGGTTCGAGGCGCTGCAATCTTGCTGCAGGGACAGCTGAACAAAGAAGAGAAGGACAGCGAGAAAAGGCAAGAGGCACCTGAGCCCCTTCATCTTGGGCAAGGTACTCTTTGAACAAAGGATAGGCGTAATGCGTTGGCGCTTTCAAGCATCATGGGTGACGACCCCCGAGGGATTTATACCACGGAGGCACTTAAGACCCAACCCTTCAGTCGCATTCCCCATCCCAGAAGGCATTGCTTAGTAGGTTTAGAACTCTTTCCGAACCCCGCCCATTATTTCAAATAATCTCGCTAAGGCTGGAGGAGGATTACAGAGTGGGGGCTTTGGGCGGACCCCATGTGGGCGTAACGAAGCGCGGGCTACCGGTAAACGGCGCATTTGCTGTGTTAGTACTGGCGCAGAATGGAGAGTAACAATGCACCTAAACAGCGCAAATATAAGCCGCGACGTCCATGCCACGATGCTAGAAGAGTTGTCGCAATATCGCAGTGGGACCTCATCCAAATGGCAGCGTTCCTTCCACTTCTAGGTCTCTCTCTGTGCCTCACTCAGGCAGGTGCCTCCCACCATCACCGAAGCCATCACCACCTGCATGCCAGGGCCGACAGCATCGCTGAATTTACTGGATATCAATTGGCTTCCTCGCCATCCTTCTCCGATTCGGGATTGCCGGAGGATTGTGAGAAGGCGCTGTACGCGGAAATCTACTGCGATGACTACGTGCAGGAACTCTCAGAACCGGTCTACCACGGCTCCCTTGGCGATGAATCATTCACCAATTCGGTATGCGCGAGCAGCTGCGGTGACTCTTTGAGGAACTTTCACGACAACGTGGTGGCCAAGTGTGGCACTTCAGCCGAAGCTTTGCCTGGAGTTCCTGCACTTTCCGTGGTCGATGCCGTTTGGAGTGGATGGAATGAGACCTGCTTGCGGGCATCCAACGGGAGCTTCTGCAATGGTAAGTTGTGCCAATGACTCGATGAGATCCCGCGGCGATGACTGACATTGGTTAGACATTCTGGTGACATATCCGCCGGTTAATGAGTTATCGGACATGCCAGCAGCTCAGCTGTGCTCTGAATGCTGGGTGAGCAAGTTGAAATTGATGCAATCGTCCCCGTATTCGGCATACGATAACGTGTACCAGTCGCAACTGGACTACACTTTGGCTAGTGAGTAACACATTCGTCGGAAATCCGGGGATGAGAGTGCTAACGAGCCAGGTTGCGATCTCTCAATGAGTAGTACCGAGCCCACCGAGGGAGGTGTACAGGTTCCTGCCTCGAATAGCAGCACTTGCTCCACAGAAAAGGAGTATACCGTGCAGGACGGAGATACTTGTGATTCCATCGCTTTGGCGAATAGCGTTTCCTCAGGAACACTGTATGCCGAGAACTCTGCTTTGTTCAACTGCTCGGAGCCAAAAGTGGGCTTGAAACTTTGCCTCCCCGCTGCCTGCGAGAATGTCTATCAAGTTCAGCCCACTGATGACTGTGTCTCGGTCGCGGTGTCAAACGGCATCTCCTGGAGAGAACTGATCTCCTACAACGGAATGCTTTACGACGACTGCTCCAATTTCGTCGGGGCCGATCCGAGCTTCGGAACCGTGATGTGTGTTTCTCCTCCGGGCGGGAAATTCGATCTTGGTGTTTCCGACTCGAACAGCACTGCCAGTGGAGTTGATGGACAGGGTGGAAGTGGAACGGGTTACGGAACCACTCAAGATTATTTGGCGCCCGGTGCAACCCTCGCCCCCAACACTACCACGGAATGTGGCAATTTTTACACCGTCGTGAGTGGTGATACATGCCGCCTTTTGCTGGCGGAATCGAACACGCCCTTCGACCTCTTTGTGGCTGCCAATCCATCCATAACTTCTGCAAAATCCTGTGATTCGGAGCTCGAAGTCGGTCTCACGTACTGTCTGCATCCCCTTCGAAACTTCAACGATACGGCAAGCACCACCACCACTGCGCCCTCAACAGTCACCGCTACCTCGACGTCGACCTCAGCTTCGGTTCCCACTTCTACAAAGACAGTCTCCCCTGATGGCACGTGCGGTGAAATCTACACCTGCCTAGGATCAAGTTTTGGGGATTGTTGCTCCACTTCCGGATATTGTGGGAGTAGCGATGATTTCTGTACCCCTGGCTACTGCGACCCGACGTCCGGCAATTGTGATGCAGGCAATCCGGTTTCACTCGATGGACTGTGTGGATCCGTGTCCTCGAACAACGCCACCTGCGCAGGGAGTACATTCGGGACTTGCTGCTCCAGTAGCGGATACTGCGGTAGCACTTCTGAGTATTGCACAGCCGGCCAATGCCAGCCGGCGTTCGGGAAATGCAATTTAGGCAAACCGGTCTCTCAGGATGGGCTTTGTGGTTCGATGTCGTCGAATGACGCCACTTGCGCAGGCAGCAATTTCGGTGATTGTTGCTCCATCAGCGGATACTGTGGTAGCTCAGATGCTTACTGTGGGAGTGGGAGCTGCCAGAAAGCCTTTGGAACTTGCTCGTTTTGAGTTTCGTTCTTTTCCAACATCGGCATTGTTCCTGCAGATCTTGCGTGATTTACCTAGTGCGAAGAGTTCGGAATAATCTGCGTGGACATATGTCATGTGAGCGTTTTAAACACTTATGTGAGCATTACCCCTAAAATATAAGTAAAAAAAATACCAAGCCGGGTAAGTTAGTAATAAACACGTAATTAATTTTAATTAGCTAATCTTATATAATTAATATAATTTTACCTTTTTAATAATTTTATATTAATTAAAGTTTAATACTAATATTATTAACTAATTACTAATTACTTATTAAGCGCTAGTTTAATATACTATTAGCTATAAAAAATATTTTTAATAATATAGTAATTAAACACCTAATCCCGCGTGATATAAAAAAAAAACTAAATAATAAAATAAAAATAGTTAAAATAAGTGTGGAGTACTTGTAAAGTGCTTATAAAATACTTACTAATTTAATATATAAGTAAAATAATTATATATTTTTAATAAATGCTAGGGAACGTGACCGCGCTTTAAGGTTATTAAAAATTAAGTATATTAATAACTTTTTAAAGTATTTTTAGTTATATATTAATAAATATACCTATATTATGCCTATAGGCAGTTAATTAAAAAAAAAACTAGTAAAACTAGTTAAAGGTATAAATACTTATTAATTATTAATAAAGTACTTACTAAGTAGTAGCTAATTATTTAGCCTAAATTTAATATATAAAATATTAATTTAAAGGGAGCAAGCCTAGTTAAATAATTTTTTATTTTTTTTTTAACACCTGCTATTATAAAATTAATTATTTATATTTTAAAGTAAATACTTGCAAGTATTTAAACCCTAGGTTAAGGTATTATTATTATACTTATATTATTAATAAAATATAAAAGTAAATTATATAGTATAAGTAATTTATACCTAGTATAAAAAAAAACTTAAATAAGTAAAATATTAAAAAGTAAGTTATTACTTACTAAATACTTAATAACTACTTGGTAACTACTTACTTATTACTTATTAATAATAACTAGCTATTATTATATAAAGGTTTAACTTTTTAATAAATAAAATATATACTTTAAGCCTTTTTTAAGCTATAAGCTAGTATTTTACTAAAAATAATAAATAATAAGTGCTTGCTAGCTGCTTGGTAACTACTTACTAATAAGTTAAAATATAAATAATAACTTTACCCTTTATATTACCTGTGTTAATAATACAGGGGCTTTTTAAATAAAGTATTTTTAATAAAATATTACTATAATATTTCTTAATTTAAAGCTTTTAAAGTACCTTTTTAATAAGGATGGGGAGCCTTTATAAAAAAAGTATAAGGTTATTAAGCCTTTATAATTTTAAAAAAATTTTTATAATAAGTATTTATATAATACTTGGTTATTATTTAATAAGTAATTATTAATTACTAGTAGGCAAGGATTATTTTTAAGGCTTTAATAAAATAAAAATTTTACCATGTAAAGTTTACTTTTTTACCTTTATATTTATAAATTTTAAGTAATATTTATATATAATTTTTAGCTTATATAATATATATAAATATTTTTTGCTTGCCCTAGTAAAAACCCCGGAGAAGATTATAAAAAACCTAGATTAGTTAATAAAATAAATAAATAATTTAGTATAAATAACTAGTAAGTACTTGCCTAATACTTATTAATTACTTACTAAGTACTTACTTTTACCTAAGCTAATTTTTTTATAATCCTTAACTTAAGGCTTATTATTAAAAAAACAGGGTTTTTATACTTACTAAACTTTATTTAAGTTTTAGTAATAAAAATAAAGTTACTATAATTTTTTAAAAGTAGTGCTTATTATTTTATCCCCAGGGGCAGGATATTAATAGCTTAATTTATTTATATAAAGTTAATAAAAAAGTTAATATAAATACTTAGTAGTTACTTAGCAAGCACTTGCTAATTACTTAAAAATATATTTAAAAATATTTTTATAATACTTAGGGTATTATAATTTTTTATAAATACTTAAATAATATATACTTGCTTTTTAAGCTACGCTTGTTTAAGGTTAATATATTTTATAAGTAGATTTAGGGTAAAAAAATAAATAAGGTTTTATTTACTATATTTTTTATAAACTAGTATAAAAGTAAGTTTTAATTATTTAATAAGTGCTTAACAGGCGCTTATTAATTACTTACTTTACTTATAGTTATTACCCTTTTACATGTTTTTACTAGTTTAAAAATAACTAAGGGGTATTATTTATTATTTAAATAGGCTTTTACCCTAATTTAAAAAATAATAAAAAAGCTAGTTTTATTTAACCACCTTTATAGCTTTAAAATTTATAGTTTAGTTATAAATATAAATAATAAGTAATATATAGGTTAGTACTTATAAAGCATTTTTTAAGTACTTATTAATTACTTAGGTTTTAGCTAGTATTTTTATAATATTAATTTAAAAAAGTATAATATTATATAATAACTTAAGTAAATCCTTGTTTTTTATTATGTGTATTTTTAGTATAATATTTTTAAGGCTATTAATACTTAGGCCTATAAGGGCGGCTTATAAAATTAAATAATAAGCTTGCTAAAATATAAGTTTAAAAAAAACTATAATAATTTAATTAATTACTTAATTAATAAGCTACTAAGCGCTTATTAAGTGCTTATTAACTACTTGTTTAATACTTGCTAATTTTTTTATAAAATATAAAAGTAAAATAGTTTATAACTAGGCCATATAAAAAAAAAACTAGGTTATTAAAGTAGGCCTAAATAAGGCCTGCTTAAAAATTAAGTTAAAGTACTTTAACTTACTATATACTTATATTAATATAGTTAAGTAATTTTATTAAAAATTTTATACTTTAGGCAAGTAGCTTATATTAATATAAGCCTTAAAAAAGTAAGTGCTTGCCTAGTAGTTATTAAGTACTTACTAATTATATAAGGTTAAATTTATAGCTTTATAAAACTTAATAAAAATAATATTATTTAGTATAAGAATTTTATAAAGTATGGCCTTTATTATGGGTATAATGCTTTAAAAATAAAGAATAACTATTTAAAAAATATAAAAAATTAGCAAGTAAGTAAGGTTAAGGGGTAATTGCTTGTTAAGTGCTTGCTAACTAGTTAAAAAAAATATAAAAATATTAATACTAGCTTGCTAAGGCCTTAAATATTTTATTAATATAAAAGGTATTTAAAAAGGCTGCCTTAAAGTTAGGCAAGGCTTTTAAAAAAAAGGTAAAATTAGTTATATTAGTACTACCTTTTTTAGTACCTAGTATATAAAATAATAAGTATAATACCTTATTTTTTATTATTTATTAAGTGCTTATTAAGTGCTAGGCCCCTGTAATATATTATTTTAGTTATATAATTTTTTTAAAATTTTATTATTAAAAGGCAGGAGCTTAAGCTATAATAACTAAAGGTATAAATTAAGGCGCAGGATAAAAATACACAGGTAAAGTAATTAATTAATAAAAGGGTAAAGCTTAAGCTTATTTTAAAATATAAATAAATTTAAAAAAAATAAATATATTTATTACTTAATAATTACTTAGTAGCTATTAATAAAATACTTATAAATTTTTAGTTATGCTAGGGGCAGCCTACTCTTAATATATATATTAACTTAAGTAAGTAATATATCATGGTTGGCCTTATAAAGGACCATAAGAATTTTAAAAATATAGGCTATTTAATAATAAATATATAAATTATTTAATTTACTTTTTATAAACTAATATATATATATAAAATATATAAATAGTATTTTATGCTAAAAAAAAGTAAGTAAGTAATTAATAAGTAATTAATAAGCACTTAGCTTAACCCCCTTATTTAATATTTATTTATATATATTATTAAGTTTAATATTAATTTTATAACCTAGTAGTTAGCAAGCACTTGTAAAGTAGTTTTTAAAAAAATTAATATATTATATTTTAAAGCTAGTTTAAAACCGCTCCGTGCCTAGTTAGCTAGCATATTAAATAATAAAAAAAAGTTTTTAAAAAATAAAGGTAAAATAAAAATAACTAGTAGTTACCAAGCACTTAGAAAGCATTTAATAAGTAGTTTAGTTTAATATTATAATATAATAAAAAAAAAAAAAGCCTAAATAAAAAAACCTAGTGCTTACCAAGCAGTTACTAAGTAATTAATTAGTAATTAAAATTTAATTATTACTAGCTATATTAAAGGATTTTTTATTATTATTATTATACATGTTTTATTATAGTTAATAAGTAATTAATAAATAATTAATAAATACCTATTTTAAGATTAGTTAGCTCGCGGTTTATTTTTTTAAAAAAGGGGTTTTATTATAAAGTAAGTTAATAAATAATTAGTAAGTAATTAGCAAGCACTTACCTTTAGGTTTATTTTTTTTTACTTTTTATTTAACTTTTTTTTAAAGCTAGTCTTAATAATAGGTTATAAATAATTAGTAATTAATAAGTGCTTAAAAAGCAGCTAGCCAGCACTTACTTGCTTTTTTTTATTACTAATTATTTAAATACATGCCTTTATACAGGTGGGAAGGCAGGGAAAAAAGGTTTTTTATAAGTAATTAATAAGTAATTAGTAAGTAATTAAAAGGGTACTTACCTTTTTTTTTTTTTTTTTTAGCAAGGGTGTTATAGCGGGCTAATACTTAAAATTAAAAAGTAAGTAATTAATAAGTAATTAAGGAGTACTTATATAAGGGGTTAAATTTTTATAATTAAAAAAGGTAAAATTTTTATAGGATTTTTTTAAGTTTTAATAATATATTTTAAAATTATTATAGGTAGTGCACGGCACCTTATAGCCTATTTTTTTAACTTTTTTTTTTATATTTATAATATAAGTTTTTAAGTAGTTAGTAAGTAATTAATAAATAATTAATAAATACTTATAGTACCCTTTGCGTTGCAAGGGAGGGGGGGCTTTAAAAATTTTTTACTAGTAATAAAAAAAGCTAATTACTAGGTAATTACTTGTAAACTACTTATAGCAGTATTAGTAAAAAAAGGAAAAAAGGTATTATTAAAAAAAAACTTAAAAAATGCTAGGGGGATTAGTAATAATTAAGTAGTTAATAAATAGTTAATAAGCACTTATTAACTACCTAGGTAATATTTTTAGTGGCTATATTATTACCTTTTAACTTTTTAATATTTAAATTATAATTATAAACATGCAATCTAAGATTATATTTTTTTTTAAAAAATTATAAAAATAAATAGTTAGCAAGTAATTAGTAAGTAATTACTAAGTACTTATAATAATAAATAAATAGTTTTCCACGTGGTAAAACTTTTTTTTAAAGTAAATAATAATATAGTTATTTTTTTCCTATAATTAACTAAGTAGTTAGCAAGTAATTAATAAGTAATTAAATAAAAGAATATAAAAATTAAAAAATTATAAAGTTTATAATTATAAACTTAAGTAATTAGTAAGCAGTCTAGGAGCACTTGTTAAGTAATTTATAATAAGGTAAGTAAAAAATAGGAATAAACTTAAAAAATTAATTTTTTAATAAATAAAAAATTAAGTAGTTAGCAAGTAGTCTAGGAGCGCTTATTAAGTAATTTATAATAAGGTAAATAAAAGGTAAAAATAAACTTAAGAAAATTAATTTTTTAATAAATAAAAAATTAAGTAGTTAGCAAGTAGTCCAGAAGCGCTTGTTAAATAATTTATAATAAGGTAAATAAAAGATGGGAATAAACTTAGGGAAATTAATTTTTTAATAAGTAAAAAATTAAGTAGTTAGCAAGTAATTTAAAAGCACTTATTAAGTAATTTATAATAAAGTAAGTAAGAGGTGGGAGTGGACTTAAAAAATTAATTTTTTAATAAAATAAAAAAAAAGGGTAAATACCAAGCCCTTTATAAGTACTTAAAAAATGCTTAAAAAAAAAGTAACTTATAATTTTATAAAATAGGTACTATATTTTTTCCTTTAGGCCATGTTTAAGGTACTATTAATATTATTTTTAAAGTAGTAAATAAGTAATTAAAATATACTAAAAAGTAACTTAACTAGTTTTTAAGGGCTTAAAAAGTAATTAATACTTATAACTTTATTAAGCTAACCCATGGTTTATAATATTAGTAAAGCTTTAATAATACTAGAATATTATAAAAAAAATAAAAAAGGTTAAATGCGTGGTAAAAAATTTTTGGTGTTTATAGGTCATATAACCGCTAAGACTTAAAGATTACGTAATAAAGGCTTATGTAAGCGTTTGGAATAGCCCAGGTCACCTCAACCCTCATAATCTGCAGCGGATCTGGATCAACCGGCTGTGCTCTAGAAATCGGAGCGGATACGACCGCAGCGAGTCAATGAGTCTCTGTGGGTCGGATTGAGGGTTCGGAACTTCGGACTTTGGAAGACGAGGTCGTTTGACGCTAGGTAGGTTTTAGTTAGGCATACAAAATAAAAATTCAGTTCTGCGCGAGTTCCGATGATTGCCGGCAATGGGATAGGCCTAGGATATCGAAACCTCAAGAGTGCCGTCCCTAGTAGTGCCTAGGCATTACAAATAACGAGGGTCTTTTCGACGCCGGCCATTCATCGATGATCTCCCGGGTCCCTGGCCCACTGCACTGATTCAGGACAAATCCCTGAACCAGAAGTCCAGTAGTGCGAGCGCCCACGGTCCAGACTCGGCCACCCCCTGCGTATGTGGAAGTGGAAACAAGCTTCGGAGGATTGACCAATTTCGCGTTCCTGACCGGCTAAGCCGCATCGCATCGGCCGAAGCCAGCGATGAACAGTGGAGAAAGGATTTTTGGAATTGGCCTGCGTGAGGCTGCGAATGGGAACGAGACCTTTCCGAGCAGCTCCACTGTCCATGTCACTAAGGGTCCTGGGTCCTACCGAATACAGTCATTCGCACGAGGTGACTTGGTAAGGTGCACAAAGCGAGCAACAGACTTACTGCTTGGAGTATATGCAGAGTTTTCTGCGCGGTTAAATTAATGGCAAAGGCATTCGGCCTTGAGCCACACGGTGAGGATCGAGATTGGTAGCTTTGTTGATTTAGAGACAAGCTCTCGTCCAGGTACGGTAGTCTAGGAAATCTGTGTGTCACATGACACCTTAAGCGACCACCACCGAGACGGCCATCGCGGGCTTCCCCCCGGCTTCCCCTTGCTCCTCCTAATTCTGCCCGGGTGCGTCCAGGCCCACTGCTTTTCTTTTGTTCGATCTTTCTGGATCACCTTCTGGGTTGCCAAGCGATCGATACTTCCAGCGATGGCACAGCCAACAACTGATCTCCTTTATGCACTCCTCCTTGACACAGTCTGTCATAAACCCTTGGAAGAACTCAAGTCGATCTTGCCCAACATTCCGAGAGACGTGATCAGTCAGCTCAAGTACGATGGTAGAACTCCCAAGGGCATCATCAATGCGCTCATTGTGCAGCGGTATTATCAGCTACATGATAGACTCGAGTGGGACCGGACAGTTACAACTCCAGCTGGCGCCGATTCCGCTCGATACAAGCAGGACTTTGAAGCGGTGAAACTGCTTTTGGCCCACGGCTTCAACCCCCAAGACATAGCGCCGGAGCAAGACGGTTACGATACTATAAGTCCTGTGCAATTGGCCGCGCAAACCGATGACCATGAGGTCTTACAGCTGCTCCTGGAGGCCGGGGCTGATCCAGTAACTCATTATGATGATGGCTGTAGTTCGCGAACGCCGTTCGATGCTACCCATCCGCCTTTCCAACTTGCTGTGTTGACTGCAAGCCCGGCTGCACTACAATGCCTCATTGATTGGTCAAGACAGCATCCAGATAGCTTTTCCATCTCCGAGAACGGCAAGTGTCTTGCCCTACGAAGGTCCGCAACGCATCTGTTTTCGGGCATACTGCAACTTTTGCTATCGTCGTTTGAATTCTCGGAAAGTGCTTTATCTGAAGCTTTGGAGATTTCCATCGGACTAGACGTCTCAAACTTCAAATGGAAAGCAGGGTCACAGTACGCCGGTGATCATCGATACCGGCCAGAGAACGTTGTATGGACAGCGCAGATCGACATCGTACGAATGTTATTGGAGGCGGGTGCGAACCCTACTCACATTGACGAGGACGGAAACAGTACATTGCATCGAGCAATCGGCACAGCAAAGGGCACTGAGATAATTCATCTATTGCTAAAGCATGGCGTGCATGCTGAACCAACCGATCATAAGCTCACCTCCTTGGCCCTTCACAACGGGAATACCGGGCTTCTCCGGACATTCTTAGATCTGGGGCTGATTCCTACACAGAGTCTCACCGAGTCCGTCACTTGCACGCCTCTCCACATCGCAGCAGCCGAAGCATCAGTCGATACACTCAAGTTCCTAGTGTCCACGGGGTTCGATCCTTCAGCCCAGGACTCAAACGGATGGACCCCCTTCCACTACGCATGCAAATGTTATTCGATCGAAAACATGAAATATCTCCTCGACCTCAACCCTCACGCCGTCAATCAAACCACCACCGACGGCTGGACAGCTCTCACCATCGGGTACAAGGAAGATGCGGCCCCCATTGAATACAGCGACGGCGCCGCATTCCTGATCGAGAGCGGCGCCAAAGTAAACGTCACAACCCCCGACGCACCAAAGTACACGCCGCTCCATATAGCAGCAATGTGGACTCTCTGGGATACGATGGACCTACTGCTTCAAAATGGGGCGCAGATCATCAAAGCAGAGGGGAGCGGCGAGACGCCGTTGCACTGCCTGAGCTGTGAGGAGTGGGATGCGGACGACCAGCGCGGCGTCAAAGCCCTAATCGAGTACGGCGCCGACGTCAATGCGCAAGATGACGAGGGGTTCACGCTTCTGCACCGTCTCCTCAGGAGACACGACCCGCCCGGGAATCTCGGAGAGTTTGTCGATGTGCTCTTGGAAGCCGGTGCTGATCCTAGCATCAGGGATAAGGAGGGGAAGACGGCTAAGGACTGGAATGACGAGTTGCCGGAAGATTTGCGGTGGGGTGGGTCGGAGAGGATGGAGAGTTTGGTAGAGGCAACAAAGATACAACAGTAAAAACCGGCTAAGCAATAAATATACACCGGTAAAAGGAACGACGGAATCTCCCTACCCAGGCCCAGCCGGCATCCACTGCACCCGAATCGGCTCATGCCCCCCCTGAACCCTCACCCTCCTGTCCCTCGACCAAAGCTGAAACGACAAATCCGCCGCCCCAACAACAACCCTGACCTCAAACGTCGCCCGACAATACCTCGGACGCACATTATACCACTTCCCATTCTTCACCTTCCGCTCCACATCCTCCGTGCTGATATCCAGACTACACACGCGTTCGACGCCAGGATCCGCTACACTCCGCGCCAAACTTTCCGCACGCCGCAACGAGCTAACGATATGCGCCTTCCAAGGCGACGCCTCATCACCAGGCATGATCTTCAACTGGAAAGCCTTGCTTATCCCGCACGGCGGAACAGGCTGGCCCGCGACAACAAGCCACTCGATCTGCTCGACCGCGTAGAGGTTGTTGTCTCTCGGGTCGCGCCGCACGCGTTGGCCCAGGTGCACGGCTGCGTCGTACAGCTGGTCGCAAATGATGCCGTAGCTTACGGGGGAGCAGCGCGCGCCGAGACTCGTCAGGCCGTGGTGGAGTTGCTGCGTGCGTTCGAGGACGAGCCCGTGCACGACTGCTAGCTGGCTGGGCCCGTCAAACGCGAGTTAGTGGGTGGTGGGTTTGCTGGAATGGCAAAATGGCAGGAATGCGTACGGTTCTTCGGCTAGCAGGAGCTGCGCGCCTAGGATGTTGGCGTGCTTTGTTAGCCCTGGCATGGCGTAGCGGGTGTGCAGGCGGGTTTTGACGTAGGGGGAGCTGCCGAAGCCGCCGGAGAGGACGATGTAGGACTGCTGGTGTTAGCAGGGGGGTCTTCCCGGGGTTGTGGATTATGGGTTATGGGTTGTGGGTTATGGGTTATGGGTTGTGGGTTACTGGGAACAGACTATTTGGCTCAGAGGATGTCTCGTCTGCATCTGTTGGATTTGGCCGTCGAGGAGCTCGCACATCTCGTTGATCTTGGTGTCGAAGGCGGATCGGACGTGCTCCCTGCCATGGCCAAGTAAGCTATTGTCAGTACACCATTCCATTAACCGGACACTCCTGGGTTGAGTAGAAAAAGCGGGCGGACGCACCATTCAATCCGCATACTCCCGTTTGAAATGCCTGCCTCGGGCAAATCAACCCTTTGGTCTTTTAGAAACGGCACATCAAGGCTCAGGAAAGGCGTCTTTGCTGCATCAGTTCCAAAGGCGCACTTCAGCCGCTGGAACCGACCCGAGATCATTTTCCACGCTGTGTACTCGGGTGTCTGGAGGAGGTGGTCGGTCGCTTTGCTAAGGCGCTCAGCGATCAGTTTGTGGATTGCGCGGTCGATGAAGACGGATCCAATGGGTCGTCCTGTTCTCTTAGTGGAATGTCAAGTTTATGGATGGGCGATAGGCACCTTCCACGCTGCCGAGTTGCTCCAACTGGACGGGTTCGCCTCGGGCTGAAAGGAGTCGGAGGACATTTACATCCTGTAACATCAGTATTAGAGTCCGACTTGTCGATTGGAAAGGCAAACAACCGTAGTCCCACCGCCACTGTCACAGACCAGCACGATATTTCCCGGCTGGGTTGTTAGTAAGAGCGCCCGAGGTCGAGTTAGGGCTAGCATAGCAAACCTGATAATACCCCCTACAAGCATACACCGCCGCAGCTTCAGCCTCGGTAAGCGCTATGCAAGCCCAATGGTTCGGTCTATGGACAGCCTTATCAAGCAGGGCGCGGATCTCCTCAATAACACGCACATCCTTCCAAGTCGTCGGCACACTAAACATGAACTCGACGCGCATGGTTTCAAAACCCGGAATCGAGCCCGTCAAGTGCTCAAGGACATGTCTATAGATGCACGAAATGTAATCCTGGAACCAGCGCCTCGCTTCAGCCTGCGTAATCTGCAGCCCTAGGTCCGCAAACTCGCTCTGCGACGTCAAGTGCAGCTTGAAGAATTCCTTGATGTCTGCTGAGCGATCTTCGGTGTCACAGCCAAAGCCCCAGTCCCTTAGTATTTTCCCATCAGGGCTGTAGACAAGACTGGTCGGGGCTTTGTTGGCGAGTTCGCTCAGTAATTTCCCCGGCCAGCGTTGGATGGTCTTTGGGGGGCCCCAGTCTGGGCCGGTTGAGTAGGCCACGCCTGCCTCATTCAGCTATGATACGAATGGAATCTGATGGATGGGCGGCGTACCAGTGCATGTCATCCCAAAGTCAATCCCCACGACGATATCGGGAAACCGCTCCTCGACCCATGTGGATGGCGACCCGTTCACCTTGACGGGCGGGCCCAGAGCCTCTTTTTCGTCCATGTTTAGTTTGATACAAACCTTGAGCACAGTCTGGAGCAGTCTGGAGCGTGGGCTCCAGACTGGTGTCTGGGGAGGCAGAATAAAAGGGGCCTGCTGACCCGGTTAAGTGACACAGACCAAGACCAGTGCGGCGAAGCTCGTATCTGCGGTGACCCCAGCCCTGATACCAATCTGGTGTGGCATTGTGTATTTTTCAAAGTCCGCTTCTTTGTTCGTGCTTAAAGTGCCTCTGCCCCTGGCTGACGTTCCAACTGGTGTCAGCTTCTTTCTACCCCGTCCTTTCGTTCAATCCCAAGCATGGCTTCGGATGCAGATGCAGATTGGACAAGCCGAACCACCACCCTACCGGGTGTCGCAACAGACACCACAGTCGTGGCTCTTGATCCCCCAAATACCTCCACCGCTGCCTCGACATGGTTCATCCACAGCGGGACAACAAGCGTCCTCTACACGACCTGGAGAGATAACGCAGCGACCACTGTGTCAACCTCGTGGACTCCAGCCCAGGAAGCCGCCACTGACGAACAGTCCCCCTCCCCATCCTCTACGTCTAGTTCACGCACCTCTACGTCTACCTCCAGCATAGATGAATCGCCTGGAACGCCGACGATCACACCTACGCCCTCATCCCCGTCGTCCAATTCCACGAGCACACAGTCTCACCAAGCCAATTCGGGTTCTTCGAATTCGAAAAGCAGCGGTTATAGCACGGGGACTCTGGCGGGCGCAATAGTCGGAAGCATCATCGGCACCGCGCTCCTAACCTTGTTCCTGGCGTTCCTTTTCTTCCGCCGCCGCCGCCGCACCGATGCATCCCAGCCCGATCACAATCCAGGAGTCCAGTACGACAAAGCCGGGACTGCGATCTCTGAATCCGGAACTGGAGCTGGAGCGGGAGCAGTCTTCTCCCTCGCATCAGTAACTCCACAGCCCGCAGACGATGAGACGGTGCGTCGACGGATTCTCACACTGATCGACCAGGCGGATCTCCATGTCGACAATTACTACGTCCCGGCCTCATCCTCAACATTGCCGCATCTGACTCAAGCCGACATTGCCAAACTGGAAAAATACAACTCGGAGTACCTGCCCGACTCGGTCGTGGATCTGCTCCAGAAACGAACCGTCCAGCGACAAGTCGTCACGCATGTTCTGGTTTACACACTGCTAAAGGCGATAGGTCCAGGAGGAACGTTGCTGCCGGCGCTGCTCGCCGCACAGCCACAGGTTGAGACCGGGACTACATGTATCCATCGTCTCCCCTAGATAACACAAGCCCTCCTAACAAGTCCATTCCTCCCGCAGCAAACGAACTCCCAACCTACCTCTTCGCCTGGCGCATGCTCACCGCGCACCTCTACACCAATAGCAAAGGCAGCGCTCGCCCCCCTCCCACAAGCCCACACGCTGGAGATCTAGCCGCGCAATTCACATCCGCCTTCGCACCCTACGCCGTGTCCGTCCCAGAGCCCGACCGCCTCGCGCACCTTGAGAACCTCGCAACAGCCACCGCCGAGCTCGGGACATGGCTATTCGCGCAGCCCTGCACGTTCCGGATGGATTGGGAGAGGAGGGCGCGGGGGTTCAGCGTTTCACCGGGCGTGGTGAAGATAGCTGATGAGACGGGGCGGAGTCTGCTGGAGCCGCAGGTTCTGGTCGAGGAGGTTGAGGCGAGGTTTTAGGGTAAGTGGCTTTATTCTATCATGAGGACGGCACCAGCGTCAGACTCGGACAATATGATGTTATGGTATTATCACCGCCCGCCCTCCCGACCCTGCGCCTAGCGCCAGGATAACATGTCCAGTAACTCGGTCTCCATCTCGCTAGTAGATAAAGGTGGCTGGATATCCTCCCACTGCCCCTGCCCCTGCCCCTCAGATCCGGCCGTCGCACAGCGACTGTGTTCTGTTTTGGGTCTTTGCGATCCGGAACAAGACCCTCCATCCCAGCATCCTGCACCTCAACCGCCAAGTCCCACTTCGGCCTCGCCGCGCGCTCTTCCGGAACGCCAATTGTGGTCGTGTATGGCAACGCATCTGCATCTGCACGAGCACGCGCACGAGCACGCGCACAAACAAACCCCGTATCTCCCGCCATCTCCGGCACCCCCCGTATCTTCGGGTGTCCGTGAACGATCTGCAACCGCGCCAAAGCACCCATCAAACTGAGGCACAAATACAAATACTACGGGATGGAGTGCAAATTACAGGATACTGTAACTTTACCAGAGACTGGGTGGACCACCCGCAGCCTTGAGTTGGTTGGTCTAAATTAGCTCCAGCCCATTCCGAATGGCTCGGGCCGTCCACGGGTCCCCACTCTACCTGCCCAATCCAGCGTGCGGCAGACATTTTTCACCTTTCACGTTTTAAGCATACTCCATACAATTGCGGAGCAGCCGTGCCTGGCCCTGGATACTTTAAGTTTGCACTTTGCAGGCATTCCCCAGAGCAACACAGAGCAATGAGAAGTGATTGCCCTTGGATCCCCATTTCTCACCTCAGACTCTGTGCACCCATGTCGCGAAGCCCCTAGTCAGCTACGTCACTCACTGCCTGAATGTTGTCACTCCCACCACCCAATCCAAGCCGTGTAAGCATATCATCAGCAGATGGATCGGGGCTGCGCCGCACGGCGCAGCATAGGAGAGGAAGTTGGAACCAGCCAAACAGGAGTGAACCATGAATGCGACCCAAATGCAAGTTTCCTCTATTTTTTCCATCTGCACCGTTTTGCAATACATTTCGTGGAATGAGAGTTGGCCATGCGACGCAGCAACATAGGTAACCCGCATCCTTAGCTGCGGCTCTGCGTGGCACCCACACTTAATGCCTTCCGACGGCGCGACGCAGCCTGGTAGATGGAAGGACGGAGTTCATTCGGGAACAACCCTCAATCAGTCTTCATTAGATGTGTGAAGTGCGCTTGGAACTGCGATGGACATCAATGTTGGACCAGCCTTCCGCTGTACTAATCCAATTCACCACAACAATTGTTGTACACATCCCCGTTGCCGTAAACCTTTAGCGCACCCTGTTCCCACCCCCATCATTGTGCTACCTATTGTGGAGGGGTGGGTATACTTGGCGAAACTGCACACTAGATCAGGCCAGTTGCATGATGACTGCAGGTGGATGCTCAGTTTGGATCTGCCTGCGCTATCATAATAGAATAAACGCACTTGGACTGGTTCTGAAAACATCCTAACCCTTAGTACCCTACTATTGTTGTATCGCCTATGCTGTTAACACATCAGTCTTGTAAGTTCGCCTGTCCAAGCGCCTTCTGAAATACCGGTATCCCCAGGCCATCCCATCTGTTGCCTCCAGCATTAATTCATTAACCTTGGAATGGTACTTCCGCACTTGATGGGAATTCAATGCATCGCTACCTACTCCGTACGCTTTTCCCACATGTTGATCCACAGGGTCCACCTTTATTTTGCTTCCACCCCACCTCTTCCCCTTCTTCCATGTTCAGCACATGTTCAGCACGGATTGCACACTAGGGCAAAACCTCAGATAGCAAGATTTACTACTCGTGTAGTTGATACCGATCATGGCAACAACGAGATTAAACAAGAAGTGTCCCGTTCATTCTTCCAATCCAGGGATCTTCCGTATTGTCGCCGATAAAAAAGGACTTCTGTTCGCCTTGGTAGCTCAAATTCCACTATATATATGGCTTTATATCAGGAAAATGCATATCGAAACAAACAAAGATATCTGAGTGTCACAAGATCACCGCTCCAACCTTGCCCAGGTATGCGGGCTGCCACTAACTTCATACTTGAGGGCTAGGGTAGTAGTACCACCAGCGGTCGGGGCATCCAGTTCTGGCTGCTCTTCCGCCGATGCTTCTGCCCTGAAGACGAGGCAGATATGGAACGTCTCACGCAGTTGGCCCTGCCACTGAATATCCTGCCGAAATGATTCGCCTTTCCCAAGTTTGCATCTATGAGCCTCAAAGTTAATGCTGACTGCTCTTCCGTGAACAAGGAAACCGCAGCCTGAACTTTGGAGTCGATCCAGAAGCACACGCTGGTAGCGCTGCTCCAACCGACATCGTATCTGCGCTCGGAATGCAAACCCAATGCCATCTGGCAGCGGCAGTTTTGTCGGAGACTCAACACAGATGTAGAAAAGTGATGCGAGCAATGCCTCTGCCGCGCTTCGCAGCTGTCGCCGGGCGCCTGGATCATGAAAAAAGCGTCTGGTGTCATCATCCATGCTGTCCACTGCGCGGGTATCCGCCATAAACGGCAGAGTGCCTGACAGCTTGATATTCAGCCGATGGTGGCGGCGTCGGCCATCTTCGTCCAGGGTCGCGTGGTATTCTTGCCACAAGCGCTCGGCGTCGAGCTTGCTTTCGAACGAGTCGATGCATCGTTTCAGCCAGCCGTGCACAGCATACTGGGATAGTGTATTCTTCTCGGCGATGCGCCCTTCGGCGGAGCCTGTTCCGATGCTCAGCACAATGTCTACCTTCGGTCTCCCGGTCCACAGAGACGGCGCTTCCTTTACAGCTAATCCGACAGGGTTATTGTGGTTCATTCCCCCGTCCTGGAATGCATGGCCATTACTTGCTCTGTACACTGGGAATAGGAAAGGTGCAGCGGATGTGCATCGTGCTCTGTGGCAAAGAGGTCGGTATCAGTTAGTGCTCTGAGATGGACTAGAATAAGAAAGGAATGGAAAACAAGGGAGAGTGCAAGAAGAGTAACGTACGCTTCCCAGACCTCAATCTCCTCATCCATATCGTCTTCTCTGTATATGGAGACGGTTTCGTCATCTTCCCAGTACAGTCAGTGCGGGAGGTCAAAGATATTGATGGTCAACTTGCCTTCATTTTGTATCTTCCGATTATAATTGGTCATAAGAGTCGTATGATTGTTAATCACATTGACTGTTGTCACGCCCACTTTGAGATCTCTCATGGTAGTTTCAGAGCCAAGGTTGTCCCTCGCGCCCTTATAGGGCTCACTAAACAGGAACCGAGGCTCAGTATCAGTAGGAGCAAACGTATCTTGCAATGCTTCTTCGATAGCAGATGCGTCATAGTAGCTATCCCGCCCCAGACTGAGGAAATACCCCAGGACAGGTATTTTGCTGAAAGCGAGCTGTTTGAAAGAATTCTTGGACAGCCTCTTAAAAGCATCTATACACCTTGCAGCAGACCATAAGTTCGCGCCCATTGCGAGGGAGATGATACCTCCTGGAACGAAATTAGCTTTTTTATACTGCACCCCGGTTGAGATAATGCCGATGGGGAAGACTATCAACGCCAGAATGAAACTCTTACCTGAGCTCGTGCCGACAATGACGTCAAAAAAGTGGAATAATGGTAAATCGAGGCCGATTTCTTCTTCCAGCAGCTGCAGAATGCGCGCAGAGATCACGCCGCGTACACCTCCACCATCGATGGCCAAGACGCGAACACCCGCCTTTTCGGGCTTGAGTTGGATCTGGGCAAAGGGTTGTTGAGTCTGATCTCCTTCGCTACACAGCGGGCAGAGATCGAGGGTGTAGACTGGATCTTGAGGCAGTTTGTGGCCAAGCATCTTGACGCAGGAGCAACATATTGCATGCCCACATTCTAGGCTGAAGTCAGGCGGTTCAACGAGGCAGCAAAAGCATATTATGTTCGAAAATGTTTGCTTCCAGAACTCTCGTTCTCTTTTAAGCACCTTCAGATGGCGCTCGACGATTGACTTGTCCTTTTCCAGGCTCGGCTCCTCGAGTAATGATATCCAATTCCTGGAGTCTTGTATAATGCCTTTCTTGAAATCAACAGACTGTTGCTCTTCGTAGTCGGTTTCATACTCCCCAGAGGCGATAGGTTCTCCACGATAATCCAGATGACCTCGAGTGTGGCCTTCCCGAGTGTTGCGGCACCGTCGTCGATTTTTCTTGAACCAACAGCGGGCAGAGGTGTGGAATTCTTTATGCGCGGACTGGAAGTGTTCAGCAAATGTTGTGCCTTCTAACACCCCTTTGATCGAGGATCCTGTATATAATATGGGTTAGCTTCCAAGTACAGAGCGCTACCTCAGGCAAAGAAAGATCGGAAACCGTTTCGTACCGGACATTCTCTCCAAGGTCATGATTACCCGGTAGGATACAAAGAGCCGATGGCAGCGTTTATCGAGCTCTTTCTGGTTTGACTCTGTTTCTTCCATCTTTGCCATCAGATAAGTGGCGTTGCCAACAATGGATTTGGACAGCGGCCTGTTAATCCTGGCAATCTGGAAGAAGTCAAACGGTTCATCGAACTTGGTGAAGAAGTGCTCGATCCCGATATTGAGGAAGGACTCTAGCCACCTTGAGTTGAGCTGATTGAATGTATGCAGCCTCTCAAGCCCGACCTCTTTGCTCAAACCCAAGATCTTTGCACGAAGCTGCTGCACTTGACGGTAGAATCCTGCACCCTGTTGGATATTTCCGCGGGGAGGCATATAAACGACCGAAAGGGATTTGAAATACCGGAGGAACAAATCCATGACTGAGTGTATCTGGTCGTCAAAATCAAGGATGCGGTTCCATTGGTCCGCGATTTCCTGCAGTTCGCCGCTTAGATTGGTGCAATCCTTCAGTCTCTCAACCACTATCTGCGTTGCCGACATTCCATCTTCCCATGACTCCCTCTCCTTCTCACTCAGCGTAACATTGTTAAGAACCAGAACAACGCGTGGAAGAGTAACCTGATTTAAAGACGCATTACGTGCCTTGTCGGCCCACATGATCATCTGTGTTACCAGTGATTCCACGACGCGAGGGTTCTGTTGAATCACATAGCATAATACTTCACTGAAAGAATACAATATTCGCGGATATATATGCTCAACGCAATATTTTCGGGTGATCTTATGTGTTGATCCCTTCCAGGAGATCATCTTTCTAGATTTCTTGTCAGTGAGAGGTTCCCGAACGTGAGGACCTGACGGGTACCTACCTAGCAATGCCAGCGATGCTCTCGATAGAGGCTGCGAATGGGGTTTGGTTGCCTCCCAGAAGGCCCTCGCTGTCGGCAAATAGGATAGGTCGGGCGGTGTCAATTGTCGCCGTGTCATGGTAAAGGTGTACGTCAGAACTCGTTGGTCTTGCGGAAAAGGCTTTGATGCCCGGGATTGGAGTAAGAATGCGAGCCCAGCCAGTGGCATCGGCCTCGTGTTTGCTACCAGAGATCCCATAGTTGATGATTGCTTTCTTTAGCATCCATAAGCAGGTACTCTGGTGCATTTCTACCATTGGGATGAACTTACAATCAGAGTGGACTTTCCAGCCCCGGTATTCCCGATAAAGGATACTAAGCTTGGGAACTGCTTCTCCCGATCTTGAAACGCTGATGATAGAATAATATCTCCGTAGAGATCACTGTTGATGTGAAAGCTGCCGTTGGTGAGATCGGCACCGAACCAAAACGATGGCAGGTTGTTTTTGTGTTGCTCCGAGTGCGCTTCCCCATCGTCTTCGTGCCACTCCTTATACTCTTCCTCCATCCTTGCCTGCTCAAGAAACGGGATGCGTTCATGTTTCGCGGCTTCCCTGGACTTTGAGTTGGATTTCAACTTTGATTTTCGCTTTCTTTCCAATTGCGACTTATGAGGGTGCCACAACTCCCAATCTGTATCGCACAAAAAGATATCGCAGGTGTTGCATTTGAAGAGTCTGGACTTGTCGCTCTCACCACACATTTCGCACATCTCTTCAGGTCCCAAATATTCAGATGCGTTATCAGACTCCCTGAATTAGATATAAGTATGCTTCATCGATGCAGGGAGGTGGCAGGATCTTACATGATTCCAAATTGACTGGCCGTATTTCCGATCAGTGGCAGGAAGAACGGAGAGGGCGGGTTGCGAGACGACAATCGTGAAGAGGACGAGGGGGACGTGGGATTTATCCCACCACCCGAAGCGCGCGCGAAAGCCTACCACCCGGGCCTCCCCTCAGCCTCGCCCATACTAGATTGGTTGATTGGCTCTGATTGAACTTGTGATCAGGCACGGCCGCCCTGAGCCTTCACACTTGATAAAAATAACAGGTCGGGCGTAATTCTAACGTGCTGTTACTTACCCATAATGCATTCAAGTAAGCCTACTCACTGTTTCAAATCAGCTTGGCTGAAATCAGTGGTCGGCAACAGTTGACATCCCACCCAGGAAACCCCGGGGCGGTGGGTGTAAGCGCCCTGTTTGCTTTTCCTGGGTATGATGAGGCTCCCTCTTTGCTCTCTTTTCAAATTCAACAGTCCATATGATTGCTCGGAAATCAGCCCAGAGAGCGCGAGCGCCAACTGTAACATAATCGGTTTCCGCCCTATTTGCAACTTTCACTGCTCCCCTTGACGCTTCGTTAAGGGTGTCGACTCTGCCTTGGAACCTTAATGCGCCATGAGAAGGCGCCTTGTAGCCGCCTTGACTGGAGAGTCAGGATTGATGTCGCGTCTGAATGGTGATGAAGTCTTCTCTTGTCTTTGAGTATGTTCAAGAGTCTGCAGATAACTTCCAGCGGCTGGCTTTGATGAAAAGGGTGATGATACTGGTTATGATCAAGCAAGGGTGAAACTACTAAAAGGAATGAATAGTTACTGTATGTAGAAGTCTCTTGTATTGCTTGGTGTACTAAACTAGATATTTTAGGGATAGATAAAGAGTTTTACAGGTGGCTATTTAGGCTAAAAAAACCTTTTTTTACTAGAGGCCTAAGGCCACTGGTAGCCTTAGGCATTTACTTTTAGTACTTTCCCTTATTTATATAAAAAACTTTTCTAAATTAGTAAGCCATAAGCTATTAATATAAAAAAAGTTTTTTTTAAATTAATAAGTTATAAGTTATTAGTCCCGGGAAAAGGCTTTTTTAAAAATATAATTTATAAATAAGTATTAAAAAGCTAGTAATTAAAATAATAAAATAATAAGTATTAATAAAAGCTTTAGGTATTAATAGGCTAAAGTAATCCTAAAAATATAAATAAATAATAATAAAATATATAAAATAATAAACTTTTAATAAAAGCTTTAGGCACTAGGTAGCCTAAAAATAAAGTAAATAATAAATAATAAGCTAAATAATTTATAAATTTAGGGGCTAGCCAGCGTGTTTACTAGCTTTTTTATAAATTATATAGCCCCTTTATATTTAAAAAAGTAATAATAAATATTAAAGTATATAAAAGCTATTTTAAGGGTAAAAATAAGGCCTAATTTATATAAAAGGTATTATTAACTAATAGTAATAAACTAATATATAATAAGTTATTTAGGGATTTTAATTCCTAGTATAAGGTAAATTACCTAGTATAGTAGTATATTAAACCTATTAAAATATATATTTTAAGTATTAATTTTTTTAAAAAAACTTAATGCTAGTATAATATTATATATTTTAAATAATATAGTATTAGCCTAGTAGCTATAATAGGTATAATTAAGCCCTAAATATAAAGTTTTTAAAGCGTAGGCTAGCGGGATTATAGTAAAAATTATAATTTTAAATAATAATATTTTTTTATTAAGAAATAAAATTACTATAGTAGCCTATATATACTAAAAATTAATAATACTATTTAGCTACCTAATTTAAAAAAGTTTTAGGGTTTTAAAGGCTGCTAGCCACGTGGTATAACCATGCTTTAAAGCCTAAAAAAATATTAAATAAAAATTTTAATTAGGGTAATTAATAAGCTAGTTATACTAATAAGCCTATATTCTAGTATTTAAAAATAAGATTTCCTATAGGTAAATATAAAAAGCACTAGGAATTTTATTAAATTAAGTTAAAAATATATTAACTTTTAGTATTATAGTTAGTATATTATATAAAACTAAGATAAGGTTTTAAAATAGTATAATACTATACTATTTTTACCATAAGGTTAATTCCTAAAGATAGGGATAAAGTAATAGTAAGCTAAAAATAAAAATTATTAAGTATAGTTTTATAATATATAAGTTATTATAAATTTAATATAAAAAAGGCTAATTCTAGTATAAAAACTACCTAAAAAACCTACTTATATAAGTTTAGGAAGGATCCCTAATAAGGCTTTAAAGTATTTAAATATCTTAGGCCCTAGTAGCTTAATAAGGCTATTTATTATTTATTTTTTGTAAAAATAAACTAAATATTAATAATATTTTTAACTTTTTTTTTTAAATATAATAGTGCTAAATATTAATATACTTACTTTAGGTATAAAACTAGGGGTTACTAGCTAGTATTATAATACCTTTATTATTTTTATAAATTATAATAGCTATAAAATTTATTTTTTAAGTATTTATAAGCTTTTTTAGCAAGCAGCAAAGCTAAATAACTTTTTTAATAATTTATATTTTTTTATATACTTAGCTTTATAGGAAAATAAAGCTATAATAGGTTAATACTTAAAAAACTAGCTAATAGCTATAAAACCTATATAAAATATATATTTAAAGGTAAAATAGCATGTTTTTAAATTATTACCTTAATTAGTATTAATATAGCTAGTTAGTAGTTAAAAATCCTTAAAAAATATTAATTTATAATTTATAAAGCCCTAAAAATAATAAAACACGTGCTTAATAGTTACTACATGTTTTTTTATAGGTTTGGTAAAAAAATAGCTTAAAATAAATATAGGGTAGGTAATATTAGCCTAAGTACTTAATATAAAATATATTAAAAATTTAATAGCGCTTTAATACCACTTTAAAATATTTATTAAAGCTAAGTACTTTTTAAAAGTAGGCTTTAGCTTTAAGCAGGGATTTATTAGCATGCTATAAATTTTAAAATTATTTATGTTAAACTAGTAAAAAATTTTATTTATATAGCTAAGTTAAAAAAGCTAAAGTATTTAGTTAGCCTAATTTTAATAAACCTTTATGCTAAAATAATAATAGCACAGGCTAAAATTAAATATTTTAAAGTACTTATTTAAAATATTTTTAATTTTTTAAATTTAAATTTTATTTTTATTAACTAGTAAGAAATTATTTATATATATAGTAATAAAAATCTTGCTATTAATAAAAACTTTTAAGTTTAAATAAATAAAATAAAAGCCTAGGGTGGCTAGGAAGTTTATAAGTAGCTAGTACTAAATTTATAGCACTTGCTTTAAATTATAAAAAGCCTTTTAAAGCTAGTAAACGCGCTTAAAGCTATTAATAAAAAAATAAGGCTATTTTATAAAAATTATAATATTAATATCCTTATATAAAAATACTATTTTTATATTTATTTACTTAATTTTAAGGTTTAATATAATAATAATAATAAATAAAAGCTTATAACTTATTAGCTTTATTATTTTAATATAGGTTTTATAATAATTAACCTTATAAACTTACTTAAAGCTATAAATTACCTAGTAAGCTTTATAATAAAAAATCTAGCCTTTTAATTTTTTTTTAACCTTTAGGACCTATTTACTAAAAAGCAAGTATTTTTTAAAAAGTAAGTTAATAAAATTTTAGGTTTTATTTTTTATTAAAAAATTATATTTATTTTATATATTTTTAAATTACTTATTCTATTTACCTTTAGCTTTAGCTTGCTAAACTATTAATTTATTTTTTTTAAAAAAATTTACTTATAAAGTATTATAACTAGTATTAAAATACTATTTAAGCTAGGCTTACTAGCTAGTACTTAAAGGTTATTTAAATAAGGTTTACTAGCTAGGGTAATCCTATTTTATATAGTTTTAATAATATTTTAAAAATAAAATAAATAGGCTAGTTTATTTAAAATTTAAAAAGCTTTTTTAAAATTAATAATAGCTTAAGCGCGTGTGTAATACACCAGGCTAGTATTATAAAAGCTAAAATTTAAATTTTTTAAAAATATGTTAACTTTAATAGCTAAATTAATAGCTTTTATTACTAAATTTTTAGGGTTTATATACCTAGAAAGGTCCCTAAAAGCTAGGCTTTTTAGGAATTTATTTTTAAGGTTTTTTTTAATATCTAGGTTAGTATTAGCTAGTAAGCTTTTAAAAATAAAGGTTCCTAAAAAGGCAAGAGCTTTAAAAATAAAGATTTTTAAAAATATTAAAGCTTTTAGTGCCTTAAAAATAAAAATTCCTAAAGAATTTAGAGCTTTAGGTAGTACCTTAAAAATAAATATTCTTAAAAAAGGTAAAGCCTTGGGAATAAAGATCCCTAAAGGCATTAAAGTAATTATTTTTAGTAAAAAATCTAGCCTAGTGTAGTAATTTTTAATAATATTAATATTATATATTAAAACCACGTGGCCATTATTTAAAAAAACCTAATATAGCTTATTTATTTTTTTATTAAATTTAACTAGCCTTTTAGTTTTTATTTTACTATTTTTATAAAGCTTCTTTTACTTTTTTAATAGGTTTAAAACATAGACCTTAAACTAAAAAATATAAATATAAAAAATATTTAACTAGTAGCTATACTAGGCTTTAAATAATATAATATTATTTAATATAAAATATAAAGTTTAATTATATAAATAACTAGTATTTTTATAAAATTTAAATCACATATTAGCTAGGGCTTTAATATTATATAATATAAATTATATAAGGCTAAGCAGCTTATTAATAAGTACTTTAGTATAATTATTTTATTTATACTAGTTTATATTAAATATTTTTATAATAGCTTTAAAGCTATAAACAAGGCGTTATAAGTTATAAATATTTTTCCCCCTTAATTATAATATATACAGCGTA